CGTATCTCCATGATGGGGGGGGTAAGAAGGGCACTTCCCAAACACGCAATGTCGGACAATTGGTGTGTGTGTGTGTGTGTGTGTGTTGAGGGGGGGTGGGGGGCTGCACGGGGAGTGACAGCTCGCGGGGGTAGGGACCATTGAGACGCCAGGGGGACGAACGGATTGGACAAACATTTCCTTTCCTACATTGCTGAAATTAATATTGTGTTATTCGATGGTTTTCGAGATAGATGTATATGTGGCGGTAATTTGACGCGTAAAAACGTAATTACAGTTTTCAACCTGTATGCGTGTTGCCCTAGATTGGCACTAGTTTTAGAAATAACCCAGACAAATGTCCATTTGCGCTGTCTGAGTAGTATCTGTGTCCATCTGTCGCTGTCACCTAAATAATCACACATACACCTGTTGTTAAATTGTCCAATTTAAATTAAAATATGCATTTAAATTCGATCCGAAAAGTGCAGTATTCAAGTAGCCCTGTACAGGACGCCGGTGTAATAGACACCATTCACAAGAACACTTCTTGAAAAAACGAAATTACTTAATGAAACTCTTTAGTTTTTTATAAAATAAACACCACTGACACTAATATACTCACAAGATGGAGTTCACGTTTGAAGACCTTACAAAGGCTGTCCTTTGATATCGATATTACCCGTTGTTGCATTCGGGAGTACTCAGTTACTGACAGGTGTGACACGATCAACAGCCCAAACCATGCATATCTCTCTCTCTTTCTCTCGCTCTCTCTCTCTCTCTCTGTTTCTGAACGTATATTCTGTCTTACGGGCGGTCGGGTAGCCTAGTGGTTAAAGCGTTCGCTCGTCACGCCGAAGACCCGGGTTCGATTCCCGTCATGGGTACAATGTGTGAAGCCCATTTTTGGTGTCCCCGCCGTGATATTGCTGGAATGTTGCTACAAAGGCGTAAGACCATCTAGCCTGACCATGCAGCTAAGGGACACAACTCCAGACAAACGAAACACGTATGATATTGCTGGAATATTGCTGGAAAATATTACTAAAAGCGGCGTAAACCCATACTCACTCACTCACTATATTTTGTCTTACAGACCCTGATACAAATATATATCAAATACAGCCCATGCAAGTCTAAAATGTTTGGCAAGTCTAGATTACTGCAGTATCTGAAAATGAAATATATATTATATTTTTATTAAGATAACTGAACAACTGTTTTTTTCTGTACGATATGTTCATTTCAGAGACTAGATGTTAGTCTACTGAACGCAGTTACCACGATTTTAACCTCCCTGCTTACTCCTTACCATCCTCGTGAGTACAGGGCTATTTCCAAATGGTCGTCCAATTATTACCCCTGACCCGTTCTCAGTCACACTCTGTATGCACGATTGTTTACATAAACAAGTGAGTGAATGTTATTTTCGCTGCAGCCGACAATAGTCGAGCTTTGTCACGTTCTTCAGATAACCAACGCGGGGTAGACAAACCAGTGGTTGAAAGCATGAGCACCTATACACGCCACCGGTTCCGATGACACACAGCATAAACAGCCAACCAATCCCCATTACAAACATGGGTACAGGGGACTTTTCTGCCCTGGAATACCCACGGGTGTTGCGATATTGAAAACACCCTTTTTAAGGGCGGATCCAGCATGTTTTTAAAAGAGAGGGATCTCAGTCATGGCAGCCAAGTCCACAAACTTATCGCCAAAAACCAACTTATATCAGCGAGCTTCTTGAAGAGTACGTGCCTGGGAGATCTCTCAGATCAAGCTGCCAGTCCCTACTCTCTGCGCCTAGTGTTAGAACGGCGACTTTTGGAGGTCGGAGTTTCGCCAAAGTTGCCCCTGAGGTATGGAATAGGCTGCCATTGGATATCAGGAACATTGACAGTCCTACTTTGTTCCGATCAAGACTCAAAACCTATCTTTTCACCAAATCTTTCTTAGAGTATTGAGGCTTTGTGTTTTCCTAGCTGTGTAATGTCTCTTTTTTTGTGTAGACTCAAATGAAGCGCTTTTGAGTAGTTCTTCGAACTGAAGTTCTTCGCTTTAAAAATCTGTACTTATTATTATTATACCATTTTATCATTTTCCGTCATTGACGAGACTGACCGTGGGGTGAAATGGGGTTCAAGTCAATACCTGATGCTCTTTCAAGTCAGCATCCACGTATTGTAAAACTCTGTTGACGTTTCTGTGTGGAGAAATCCCATTTGAGGTGTTAATGATCACGTGACACATTTTGAAACACAGCTCTCGTTACGTCACATTTGTGAGGGTAGCGGAACACCAAAGAGAGGCAGGTACACGTGATTGCTGGATATCAATACATTTTCACGCCATGACATAACACGTGCGACAGATGATCACGTGACACGTTCTTACGTCATAATAAGAGACGACACATGTTATTACGTCATGGGGTATTTGTAACACATTAGTGGAGGCGTTGATGGTTCGACCCGGAGGGCAGTTTGCTCCTGTGAACAGGTTGATACCGTGGACTGGGAGAAGTCGATTGCAGTTAATGAATAACGAGGGGTCGTCTCAAAATAGTATGTCGTATTTATATTTCTCTTAGTTTGTTTTGAAAGTTTTAATGAAACTTTGGTTGGGATTGAATCGCCCTGGTTGACATTTGAACCAGCTGCGTCAGATACTGCAGATCTAATTGAAAGTACTAGTTAGTTTCATGAATAATCAGTGCGTGTTGTCTCAGAAAATATGTTCTTGTTGACGACTGCCTGATGTGGCTATTCACGGAGACGAAGATCAACAAATACGTCATCATCTATCAAACTGTGACAACAGTCGACGTTGCTACAGTCAAATGTCTGTCTTGAGGCAATCTGTACTTCCATCTATTACCTAATCGTTTAAAGAAATGTCGCTGCGAAAAATCTGTTTTTAGTTTTAAAGAAACAGATAGATTCATGGAGCTAAGGGACTGGACATAAGTTATGGGGTTGTGGGTGGGAGTGGATTGGTCTTAAGACTGTAACATATTGACAAACCCCCCCCCCCCCCCCCCCATTTTATGTAAAATTCCTCTCTTGCTCTCTCACCCCCACACCTACCCCCCCCCCCCCCCCCCCCCCCATTTTATGTAAGATTCCTCTCTTGCTCTCTCACATACACACACAAACACACCTACTCCTCCTCCACCACCCCACCCCCCCACCCCACACACACACATCTATAATATATTACCAGTCCCCAGATGCATCAAAGTTTACAGAAAATTTCATACACATACAAAAGTCTCATACCCATGATCACGAATACATTTATATCGCGTCAAATGTATACTGCACGTGCTTTACGTTTCTAGAGATTATGTGATGCACGTGCATTCCGTGCAAAGTAGGGTGTTTGCCTCTGGAAGTAAGAGAACACTTGACATAGTTTCAAGGCTCTGTCGCCGGTTCCTGAGTGAGTGAGTATGCTTTTAGCAATATTCCAGCAATATCACGGCGGGGGACACCAGAAACGGGCTTCACACATTGTACCCATGTCGGGAATCGAACCCGGGGAACGCTTTAACCACCAGGCTACCCGACCGCCCCTGCCAGGTCCTGATGAAATGTGGTCTTATTCGTTCTCTAACTTATACGTTTGGAAAACTTTTATACACAATAGGTCCATTTGAACTTTGTAAATTTCGCGTTGAATTTTCTCGCTTTGTGTGATAAAATATCAGTCCTGGGTTCATACATCATCGATACATCATTGATAAATCCAAATCGGGTATATAGCCTTCCGATACAGCAGTCTTCAATACAAGGCAGCGACGTCTCTAGATATATATCGGGTTAACGATCAAGTTGTCGACAAGAACCGGTTGACTGCTCAAATTCTAGATACACATCGGGTGACTGCTCAAATTTTAGACCTAAAGCGGGTGACTGCGCAAATTCAAGATCTAGATCGGATCAGTGCTCAAATTGGAGATCTAAATCGGGTCAACGATCAATTTCAATCGTGAATTTATTGTTCCAAGAACCCTTGAGCAATGTCGGTTGTTTGACCTCTGACCTCGGTAACAGCAGGTGCGCATGCTGGGGTTAACTCCGCAGGGGGTCATTAAAACTCCTCCTAGGGGCTGCCTTATCTCCCTTTGGTCATCTTCTTTCTTTCGCCTCTGTCGAACTGTGTGAAAACACAGAATGGGCGGGATGGTCTGTCCACATCACCAAAATCAATTAAGGCGCCAAAAAAGAGAATCGTGTTAAGGGAGTTCGTTGGCGATAGTGCCATTCCATTCGCAGGTTACGGAAAGGGGCGAGTGGTGACGAATGAGTGCCATTCGTGACCAACTCGCGTTATTCCGGGCCACTTCTAGCAGGTTACGGAAAGGGGCGAGTGGTGACGAATGCGATAGTGCCTACATCTGAGACTACGTGAATTTATTTTGGTTGGGGAAAAACATCCTTTCATGTACTTTAACTGAGGGTTGTGGTGATATACTTTATACTTAGCTTCATGGAATTAGAAATGGTAAATTTGTTGTGTTTGATAAGCTTTTAGAAGTTGGCAGAGCATACACTTTTTGTTGGATAATAACTTCTTTTATTCTCTGTGACGACTTTTCAGGGGTACTTCTTATCCCGTCATCGGGTGAATGAAGACAAAGAAGCTCTAAATACAGTAGTATATTATTAATAATAAAATCAGTAACAACCGATTTCACCAACCCCACCGAACAAATATAATACAAATACATATTTTGGATATGAAGAAGTGGGATTTCTGCCGAAAATAACGACATGTTAAATAATTATTAATTTCTGTCTTCTATCAAATAAAGTTTGACCACCAATGAATTGACAACAAGGGGACTTCACCAGGTGACGACTTTCTCCACTAATTCTCTGACACGATGCTGTAATCCCAAGGGTCAACAAGAGCCTTCTTTGCTCCGAGGCTTTGTGCGAGATATGCCTCTTTCAACATGTGTCAGGAACCACGTGACAATGTTTACAAATATTTAACCCGGAAGTGAAAACCCTGACCCGAGAAACCTTGACGGATCGGCAGGTGGTTTTTGCTAATTTCGGAATTAATAATTTATTCTTCGCGCTTCGCTACCCCTTATTGTGCATTTGACGAGTGACGGACGCTGAAATGTGTTCACTTACACCTGACACTTAACAAGATCTCGTTCGCATATTATTTCATTCGCCATGTTGGATAATTTATTTACATCATGGCAGCCGATTTTGTGAGGCTACGTCTAAAGATATTCATGTCCTAACAGGTGGTCAGTGGGACAGACATCGCAACAAACATCCGTCGATCGTGTTTTCCTGGACCAATTGGAGGATGTGCGAATACCAATGGCGAATATAACTGATCCGCTGTTCGGATGTTCAACGTTTTCGTGTTTTCTAAACCAGACACTATGTCAAAAATGTCGGTTTTCGTCTGCTCGACAGCTAATATGACAGGCCGGTTGGTAGCATCGCCAGGGATTTGATAACTGGTCCATGTGTGATTTCAAGGAAGGATATTGCTAATGGTAGATGCTTCTCGCCTCGTGTAGATCGGTGTTGTTGGATAGAGTGTACATTGTGTGTGTGCGGAATCGGCAGTCGAACGTGCCCAGGTCATCCTGTCCAGATTGTGTAGAAGAAAATTCATTTGGCTTGCCATCAGTTATTTATTATATGGCGTTTTCTAAACATACGTGACGGGTTCATATTGTTTGGTACCCAATTGTTTGAAGAATATTTCCAGTGTAAGATATCTGGGTTATAACTGAACCATTCAGGAACCAACCAAATTATCCTTAATTTATTCAAAATGACTCAACCATAATCTGACAAAATTAGAAAGGAGGCTTGTTTCGTTATTTTACGCAATATTTGTAGAATATTTACAAAATATGCACACACAGTTAATGGCATCTTGTACATATTGACATATTCCTGTTAATGTATTATGTTTTCATTGATAATTTAACAGAATAATTTATGACTTTGCACTAATCACTATTTATACAGTTCTTATATGGAACAATTTCTCTGTGATTTCTTTGTGATATTTTACTTTTACACAAGTATTATTAAGTTTTATTGGCCTGTTTTATTTTATCTCTGATTATTCCTTTTCTAGTCTGGATATACGTCAGTATCTGTTAGGCATTCAGTCCGAATACCAACTTGGCAGTATTCCGTAACGTAATATTGATCACGTCAGAGTCGCTTGTATGACGCAACCTGACTACCCTTGTTTTGCTCACCTGTGATTGTGGTCGCTGAAACCAGTGATGAATATTCATTAGGATTGTTGTTTGTCTTGAGCGACAATAGTCGAAACATTACTGAAGTGAACATTGAATGAAAAGTCGTTAAGGATTTTGGTCCAGACATCAGTGATTATAATTAATGAAACTTGTTAACAATATTCTAGCATGTGTGGAGCCTCGTTTCTCTGAACGGAAATGAAAACATTCTGATGCTAGTTGAACCTTGTTCTTGGGTATTAGCCCTGAGATAGTGGAAACAAACGTAGAAGTCGGTGCAGTCACAAATCATTTGCATGTCATCCAAACGAAATAGCGATTTGGTTATCTTGGAAGAGTATCAAGAACTGTTGGAAAACATGTCGTCTGGATTCACAAGTCCTGTCAAAAGTAATGACAGTGATGACAGCGCCACCTGGGGGGCGTGGCAGGTACAGCACTTATTAACCAATATTCTTTGTCTGATACTCAGACCTCAAAGTGGTGACCAGTGCCATTTGATTTTATATTTGGCAACTACAGCAAACAGCTGCCAAATAATTCAAATTGCTACAATATATATCTTCATGATGTAGAAATTCTTATGTTTTATTTTTAAAACTTTTATCGTTAGTTGGCTCCTTTGAGTACTCAACTTCTGACTGGCGCCGAAATTTGCATAATGGCCTTTTGGGCACAGAATAATTTAAACTTTGAGGTCTGAGGATATTCCTATAATCACCATAATCATAGAACAAACATGGTTTTATAAAAAAATATTTTTGACTTAGTACTAACACTTTTACAGTTCATCATGTGGAAGTAGTGTTATAAAACTGTTTCCAAAACTGGGATTAACATTTGAACTTGGAGGTTGTTTAACCAATCTGAGAGTTCCTCTGGTCAATGTCAGGAAAAGGTAGCTTGTATTGGTTAATGTGTGTTCAAACAGCCTCTCCTTTGTGTGTACATGTATTTGCTGTTGTATATTCAGTTATCCCAGTACGGGGTGTAGCATAGGAATCCAGTAAAACCCAGAGGTGTCCTATTTTTGGCCACTTGTCATGTTAACTTCATTCTGCTGAATGCAGGCCAGGAAAGTCAGCGATGGAGGAACCTTTGTAGTTTGTTGCAATGTTGTCGAGGCAAATATGCTGTAAATATTGTTGCTTTTGTTGTCAGTGATACTCGGTACCCATTAGCTAAATACAATCAGAGTTAGGACATTGTGTATAGATTTGCTTTAATTTTGTTTTTATGTTATGTTTTCTTTTGATTTTATTCTGTTCTTTTTGCTTACCACATTTCACAAGGAATTGCCCGAAATTAATATCTTTTCGATATAAGTATATAGTTATTTTGCATAATGGACTCTTGGTATTTGTTAAATATATTCATATTAATAATGCACATTTTATGTCCTGGATTAGGATTTCAAGCATGCTGAATGATGTCTTTTCTTGAATGCATTTCTGGACATATTTCGTCAAAATGAAATTATGTTTTTGAACTTTTAACAAATTATTTAAAAATATTAACCAAAATTTTTAATCAGAATTCTACTGATAAACATAACAACTATTTGTTGAAAACATAGTAAGGTGTTTTAAGATCTGTGGAACCTCAACAGTTACCATGGTTACAAAATTATCTGTTCTTGTAGAGTATTTATCGGGACCAGATAAACTGGAACTTTAAACAAGGATAGGCTGTTCATAGAAACTCAGTTACAGGGAATGTACTTTGCAAACTTAAATATGAGATTGCGTTCTTTTAGAACTACAGATATCAGGCATGGATCAAACCGAATTATTTTCATGTGGGTTTGATCAAACTCTCAACCAACTGGGCATCACTTAGGTGCATAGGTGTCCCAGTCATCTAATGTGCATCAGTTCCCAATGCAGAGTTGTGTCCCTTAGGCATGCCAGAATCCTATGATTGCTAGTCCATATCCCAGATTGTGATTCTTGGTTCAAAGCGGAAAACATCTAAGCATTTGCTTCACTTCAGTATTACCTTCTATAGGCGCCGTGATTTGCTGTGCAGAGTTTCGTCCCTTTGGCACGCCAGAAACCTATGATTGTGGGTTCGAATCCCGGTTCGCCCCGATTATGTTTCTAGGTTTGTCAGCACCATACCCGTGCTCGTGGGTTTCACCGAAGTGGTAAACGTCTGAGACCTGCATCACTTGGGGCTTTCCTCCCACATTAAGCTGACACGCCGTGATATAACTGGAATACTGTTAAAAGCGGCGTTAAACCCAACTCACTCACTCACTCACTCTGGACCCCCCCCCCATTTCACCTCATCCTTCCCTCCCTTGAGGAATAGTTTGCTCCATGCCTGAGGTAACAAAGTAGTGGACTGTCAGTGAAGACAGTTTTTTATTAAAGTATGTTCATGGTGTATTTGTCTGTTGTTTCAGGCGCAGTTAAATGCGTACGTTGCGTGGGTTAACTCCCAGCTGAAGAAGCGGCAGGGGATCCGGCTGATCGAGGACCTGCGTGTTGACATGCGAGATGGCGTGGCCCTGCTTCATCTTATAGACATTGTTGGTGAGTAACTGTAGTCACGTTTTCAAATTAAAATCTGGGTCCTTTTCTATGTAGCCTGATGTTGTCATCTGGCCACATGCCTACATCTTCCATGGGGAGGAGACCCGTGAAGATCCGGGGTAGAATAGGTCTTCAGCAACCCATGCTTGCCGTTATAGGTGACTATGCTTGTGTCGTAAGAGGCAACTAATGGGATAAGACTCGCTGACTTGGTTGATGCATGTCATTGATCCCAATTGCGTGGACCGATGCTCATGATATTAATCACTGGATTGTCTGGTCCAGACTTGATTATTACAGACCGCCGTCATATAGCTGGAATATTGCTGAGTGTGGCGTTAAATAAGGGTGAAACGATTCACTGATATTCCGATGCATCGCGATACTGGACCCACAGTAAAATATACCATTAATGTGGGCCCATTTATCGATACGCCACAAAATGGAATGCAAATCTCAAGTACAAAACATACTTACATTTTTAATAAGCTCAGGTTTTACACTGACAAATGTTTTTCCCCATCTCAAAAAACATAATCAGCTGATCACCGCAAGCACATAACACCGGAAATACCAGTCAGCAACACGAACTGAAGGACGCAATTCAATACCATCATTATCATGTTTATACTATCTTGTTATTAAAACGTGTTCATTGTATATCTGGACATGTGTTTGTAATATATTTTCAATTTTATTCAAAATTTCATTTAATATTGTTTTCATTAAGTTAGGTGAAATCGTGTGTGAAGAGATACAGCAACCACGATCAGATTACCGCTTTTGACGCATTGAAACGAACTTTAGTTGCTAAAGAATGGATACATATATTAAAAATGACATATTCTATCTCGTTAAAAGTCATATTTGTGGCAATTTAGCTAAAATATTTTAACATTACATTTTCTCAATCGAAATACCTGTCGCGCGGAAGTCCCAACGGTGACTGGTCAGATTGTTCCATACGTAAAAATATCCTGCAACAGCAATCACCAGTACCAAAATGCTACGCTTGTGGTTTTTATAATTTTAAATACAAATAGAGTGAGTGAGTGAGTTTGGTTTTACGCCGCTTTTAGCAATATTCCAGCAATATCACGGCGGGGGACACCAGAAATGGGCTTCACACATTGTACCCATGTCGGGAATCGAACCCGGGTCTTCGGCGTGACGAGCGAACGCTTTAACCACTAGGCTACCCCACCGCCCCGAATACATATAGAGCAAATGATAGAGTAAAAGCTGCAACTAAAGTAACACAATATTGGAATATATTATTCCTGATAAAACAATAATTTCACATACAATTTCTTCGATCATTGCATATAAATTCCTTGAAGTTGTATCACTGGTGAAGTACATTAATTATTTTCTGGTGTTTGAACTTTGAATTGTTTTGAAGGAAAGTTAAAGAAAGTTCCACTTTGTAGCTTAACAACTTCAGTAGTCTTGTTATTATCAAATAATCTTGACTGTTCCAAAATCATGAAAGGTTCAATCTTGACATGCTTTAAGTCTTGTTTTTGTATCATTGCGTATCGAGATACATATCGTATCGTGACCAGAATATCGAGATGCGTATCGTATCGTGACCTTCCAGTATCGTTGCAGCCCTAGCGTTAAACAACAAACCAACCAACCCAAATCTGCGGCTACTGTCAGTAATTCCCTAATTGGAATTAAAACATTCCAGTTAAAGTTTTTTAGTATATATCTGATGTAACAACCTTGCTTGGTCGGATCCACTTGTATTTCACTGATTTTAGTACATATAAGGAAGGACCCGTGAAGATCCGGGGTAGAATAGGTCTTCAGCTACCCACGCTTGTCGTAAGAGGCGACTAACGGGATCGGGAGGTCAGGCTCGCTAACTTGGTTGATGCATGACATCGTATCCCAATTGTGTGATCAATGCTCATGATGTCAATTGCTGGATTGTCTGGTCCAGACTTGATTATTTACAGACTGCTGTCATATAGCTGGGATATTGATGAGTGGGACAACAACAAATAAACAAAAAACAAAAACAGGGTTCTCTCTAGGAATTTTCTTAATTGGGCCTTTATGTGAAAATTTTAAATATTCCAGAGGTACACCCATAAAGCACAATGTTAATATGCCCCATTGTATGTGGAAATGTGGGCCTTTTTTCAAATTTAGGGGATTTAAAGCATAAGACCCCTCCCTAGAATTATCCCTGCAAAAAACAAGGAAGAAAGAATCTCTGATGCCAAGTTTTACATTATTGCATTAAATATTATGTTAATATACAATGTTAAGAAACTTCTGTATTTAAGAAAATGGGAACTTAAGAATCCCACATTTAAACAAAATATGTTTGGATCAGACGGCACTTCTGGATTAAATTTATGCAGGTTGATGGCAATAGTTCTGAATGAAGGGAGATAACTCTTGCATGGCCATCAAACTTGTTTCAGTTGAGAAGTTTATATTTCTTGAAAAGTAATTTCACAGAAGTCCCCCATGTTATCTATTTGCTTACCTCAGTGCGATAAAAACTAATGTCAGACACTGAGATGACTTTCCTTGGTTGTCTGTAAAGGTGGAGTATTAGGCAGATATTTCATTCTCAGGTTCTTTGCATTTGTGTGTGTGCAATGTCATGTGCAAAAGTTTGTTGTTTAACACTGCACTTAGCAATATTCAAGCTATATGATGGTGGTCGGCAAATAATAGACAGTCCTGTGATTGACATCATGAGCATCGATCCATGCAATTGGGATCGATGATATGCTACCAACATCCACCCAATCCCATTCGTCGCCTCTTACGACAAGCATAGTTTCCTTGGGTTAAGGATGTGCAGAAATTCTTTTAATGTTTTAAGGTAGAAGTCTTGTCTATATCAGCTGAACAAAATGCATGTGTTCACATTATTTCTGTCACTGACTGACTGACTGACTCACTCACTGACTCACTCACTCACTCACTCACTCACTCACTCACTCACTCACTCACTGTTATTTGACAGTGACATTTACGATTTGACATGTATCCTACAAAAGTCAGTTACTCTAAGTGCAGAGGACCAGCAGACATCCTGCTGTGATAATGTCATTGACAGAGTCGTCCTATTGTTTCCTGACAGGGGAAGGGTTGTGCCGTCGCACTGCTGGTTCCTCTTGTGGATTTCCTCGGGCACAGGTGGCCCAGTCGTCTAAGGGGCCGCGATTCGCTGTGCAGAGTTGCGTCCCTTGAGCATGCCAGAAACCCATGATTGTGGGTTCGAATCCCAGTTCACCCCGATTATGTTTCTAGGTTTGTCAGCACCATACCCGTGCTCGTGGGTTTCACCGAAATAGTAAACGTCTGAGACCTGCATCACTTCGGGCTTTCCTCCCACATTAAGCTGACACCCCGTGATATAGCTGGAATACTGTTAAAAGCGGCGTTAAACCCAACTCACTCACTCACTCACTCACTCACTCACTCACTCACTCACTCACTCACTCACTCACTCACTCTGGAGGAAAAGCAGTTGTGTTGAGAATGCATAAACATAACTATTAGTATTAACTATGCAGTATAAGATTCCATATTCCTCTTCAGTGAATGTATCTTCCGTGTATTGTAGTTTGTGGGCTGTTTTATACACTGTTGGTAGCGTGGGACTAGACTGGCCGGTTAATCACTTTCCTTCCTCCTCCTTGGAGAGTTCCTTTAGGGGAATGTTTATGAGTCAGACCATCTCTGTGCTACAGGCATGTGGTGTTGTACCCCACTGTCAGTCAGTGTGTGGGAGAGAGGCAGTAGTAAGTTCATGGATAAGCAGAGCTGGGAGCTCCTAGGTGCTGCTGTCTGTCTGTCTGTCAACAGTGGTGCAGAACAGTTAAATGGCTACCCGGGACTGTGGTAAGAGTTGGGGGACTGACATGACATTATTTTGTTGTGGTGATTCTCTCTGTTAACCCAAGAGGTGTAGCATCAGTTTTCGGGCGGGGGTCCTGGGTTCGTCCCAGAGTTTTACCTTCACTTAGGAAAAGTGGTCTTGCAGGCAGTATGGGGGGGTCTGTAAGGTAACGAAATGCTGTAGTGTACTGTGCTTTTTTGATAATTACTTAAGACTTTTAGAGCCTGGAATGAATCAATGATCACATGGACAGCGGTTATGATTATGATTTGTGTAAAGTACCCCCCCAAAATATTCAGAACTTATTTCCGAAACACAGTTACAAGCTAATTTACTTTCCAAGTCAAGCCTATATATTTAGAACAGTTATATCCATCTAAAACATTATTTCATTTTTTAAATCTTGAAATGTTCACTAATTTTGGGAAAAACCTGAGAGTGATGAATAGATGAGTGAAAAAATATTGGTTACCCAATGAAAAATGTAATAACCCAATTAAAATAGAAACCCTAGAGTAAAAACTCAATTGCTTAAAAAGTTATCTGGAGCTCTGAATCTCACACACTCACTCACTCACTCAGCTGTGGGTAGGTTTGCCTAGTGGTGAAGGTGATGCAGTTGATTGCAGAGTTGTGGCCCTTAGTCTTGCCAGGATCTGTTGCTGGTTGTGGGTTTGAATCTCAGATGTGTTGTTAGTTGTTTGGAAATCCTAGTTTTGTTCCAATTATTATTACTGTGGTCTCCAACCCATGCCGCTGGTTGAAACACTCACTCACCACTGAACAGTCTTAAAAAAGGTTGATCTGGTGCCAAACAATTAGAAATTGACTCTTCCAAAGGCTGTGGACAAGGTGCACAGAACACTGTGGGATAACCAGCAGTCATACCAGTGATTAACATACCCAAATCACGCCTGATATCACTAATTACCAAGTCCTGATCACAACTGATATCACTAATTAATGAACTCCAATCACAACACTACTTGTATGGAAGTCTTGGAGGCTATCAGCATGCACGTGCCATCGTGTTGTTCAGATGTAATTGGTATTTTATTATTTCATGAGTAGACAGCATTCATAGCATATGCCACTTTGCGTGACGTTATTTCTACCAGATGTCGGTTCATTATTTGATTGTTTACCAGGACAATTGTATAAATATTACTTGAATTTAATGGCAGCCATCATTGCAGACAGCATTTGTAGCATACGCCACTTCGCCTGACGACAAAGTGATTCACAGTTTTCCCGGCCTATTTCTACCTGTGTGGTTAATGTTCGTTCATTAATTATTGTTTACCATAGGACAATTGTATAAATATTACTTGAATTTAATGGCAGCCATTCGTTTTGATTCATTCAAAGATCAGTGTTTGAAATAATTATAAAACCCAACAAGACAGTCGGGCCCATAAATGTTGCCTGCCCATCCTCCAAGTTACCTGCCCGCATCCATACATTCTAAATATTGAAAAATCGCAGAAAAATAAGAAACAAATTGCATTTTGATTAAGTTGAAATATTGCAAACAAGTACTTGAGAATCTACAAGGATTATATGATAAGACTGATTGTGTAAGTAGGTTAAAAATATTTGCCAGACATTTGGGCAGTTAGAGGAAATGTTTTAGTCTGTCTTACAGACCCTGATACAAATATATATCAAATACAGCCCATGCAAGTCTATAATGTTTGGCAAGTCTAGATCACTGCAGTATCTGAAAATGAAGAGAGTCACTGGGCTCCTTTTTATTATATTTTTATTAAGATAACTGAACAACTGTTTTTTTATGTGCGATATGTTCATTTCAGAGACTAGATGTTAGTCTAGAAATTTTCCTGCAGTCCGACAGAAAAGTTACTTGCCATGGGCAGGCAGGCAGGCAGGCAATTATTTCGGACACTGTCAAAGATGGATAATTGAAATAAAATGTGGATTCATAAAGATTCATGATGGCCACCCAGTTCATAATTGCTTCATTTAATCATATGATGGACTGTTTCATCGATGTGATAAACCAATGCGTTAAAACTTGGTATGACGATATGAAAAATATGCAAATGAGGTCACAGCAGGAACTACATTTAGTTGGCTTTGTACGTCGATGTAGTGTTTACTTGTCAATAACTGGAAAGTGTTTTCCTGATGTGTGAGTGCATATGTCAACAGCCAGGGCTGCAAATCATTTGGCACTATATCACAAATAGGACGATTCACTCAGGCTTTGTATTCCTACACGGTTTCTAAAATGGCTATGGTGAATAGAAATATGTCTCAACTTCAGTTGTTTTAACCATGACATTATATGATAAGGAAATTATTACCCACATCCCAATTGCGTGGATCGATGCTCGCGATGTCAATCACTGGATTGTCTGGTCCAGACTTGATTATTTACAGACCGTCATATACAGAGCTCCAGATAAGCTGTGTATCTGCGTGAAATACGCGTCAGAAATGCAGAAATACGCAGTAAAATATAATCCAAGCGTATCAAATACGCAACGAACATTACAGATACGCTACAAAAATAAAACTTGTGCGTATCATCAAAATATTGTGAAGTAACCCTGCGTATTCGATTAGCAAATCAGCAACTTATTTTGAAAATATAAACGGGCATTCTGTCAACCTTGCCAAACTCCACGATGACAGTTTCATCATGATCATTTTCCATCACACTTTCTTGGGGAAGTATCGTGGTATTTTTTAGTCCTATAAAGCTCTCGAACCCACACGACACCAGTTTGCAGGGACTAGATGAATAGTGTTTTTAAATATTTGACTTAAATACCCACGTGTAAAAACTAGTGGGTAACAGAAATTTGAATACGCAGATAGAATTACTGATACCCAATGATTTTAAAATGCATGGGTAAAATACCCACAACACCAAAAGCTTATCTGGAGCTCTGCATATAGCTGGAATATTGCTGAGTGCGGCGTTAAACAACAAACCAAACGACCAACCATATCAAATGCAGTGGTTGGTCTCTGTCAGTGTCTGGCCTGGTGTGTCTGTCGTGTGTGTAAGGTGCAGTGTGACAGGATGTTTATTCAGTGCTGCACTACATAGTGCACAATGGCCTACACCTGGGGAAAACTGCGCCACTTTGTGCATGTTGTATGAGGAGGAAGTATTACCTGCACTTTGATGTCGGCAACTTGACACTCAGGACTAGACATTGACATGATTTAGTCCGTTACTGCATACAATTTCTAGAGGTTGGTGATTTGTGTTGCTCATGTTGTAAACCCTCATAAGAGAGGGTTTAATGTCTGTACCTTTTATCTCTGGGCATATAATGCAGGGGGATATAGTCAACACCTTTTCTGTCTGCCCGCCCGTCCGTCTGTAATCATTTTATTTCCATGGCACAACTTGAAACCCTTCAATGTTTTTCAACAGAAATTGGCAGATATATAAGATGGATCCTGAAGTTTCCATAGAAACAATTTGTTCTTAGTCTCATGGGTGGAGAATTTCGTTTCTGGAGCACAACTCAAAAACATTCAATATTTTTCAACAGAATTTGGCAGAAATGTCAAATGGATCCTGAAGTGGTGCCTTTGGCTATTTGCAGGTTTTTTGCATTTTTATTTTCCAGAGCACAACTTGAAAACCGTGAAAGACTTTTCACCCAAATCTGGTACATGTATTAACCAAGGGTTGAAGTGATTTCCTATTTAGGAAATTTTCAAATTTAATTTTTCCCGGCATCCATGGAAACAAGTTTGTCTTTGACTCTGTTCATAGTGGTTTGCTTGTCAGGACCATTTCTCTAAAACTAAATGTATTCTTTATTAAAACTACACACACAAAGACCAGGATGTATGTCAACAGGTACCTTTTGCTATTTAGGATTTTTTAGAATTTATATTTTTTCTGTTTCCATGGCAACGAGTTTGTCTCTGTCTGAAATCCGAAAGTTCCGAATCCCAATTCCATGCTATTGTTTTGATATCTCAATTACAAATCTTGTATACGGACTGACAGATTAGATAGATCTTCTCTCATCAAGTTGGACTTGAAGTACCAGTCAGATGAGGGGCGGTCGGGTAGCCTAGTGGTTAAAGCGTTCGCTCGTCACGCCAAAGACCCGGGTTCGATTCCCGACATGGGTACAATGTGTGAAGCCCATTTCTGGTGTCCCCCACCATGATATTGCTGGAATATTGCTAAAGGCCGCGTAAAACCGTACTCACTCACTCACTCACTCACTCACTCACTCACTCACTCACTCACTCACTCACTCACTCACTCACTCACTCACTCACTCACTCACTCACTCACTCACTCACCAGTCAGATGATTTGTTCTTTTGAATTTGTGGGTGCCGTTGGGATTTGTCATTTTCTGCTGACTCTTGTTGTCTCTCTCTTGTTGATCAGATGTCAAAACATCTTGTGATTGTGAGATGAGTTGTCATTCGGTACTCACTCACCAGTCAGATGATTTGTTCTTTTGAATTTGTGGGTGCCGTTGGGATTTGTCATTTTCTGCTGACTCTTGTTGTCTCTCTCTTGTTGATCAGATGTCAAAACATCTTGTGATTGTGAGATGAGTTGTCATTCGGTGCCCACTACTGTCTGTTGTGCATCTCTGTCTCTATTTTTCAGGAGGTACATGACTAAGGGAGGAATGTGAGGGCGTAGTTTCATGGGGATGGTTGTGTTTCAGGCGGAGAGAAGCTGACGGGGACCCACCCGGATCCGTCTGGGTATGGGGAGATGAAAGAGAACGTGGAGAAGGTGCTACAGTTTATGTGTAAAAGCAGAATAAGGATGCATCACACCAACGCAGCAGGTAGGTGCACGAAATTCACTTCCACCTCAGTACAGTAGGGTGACTGGTCCATGGCACTGGGAACAGGCACCCTAGGCACCCAAGTACAGTGTTGCCTGGGACCCGTGAGGATCCGGGGTAGAATAGGTCTTCAGCAACCCATGCTTTCTGTAAAAAGCGACTATGTTGTCGTAAGAGGCGACTAACGGGATCGGGTGGTCAGGCATGCTGAATTAGTTGATGCATGTCATCGATTCCAAATGCGTGGATCGATGCTCATGATGTCGATCACTGAATTGTCTGGTCCAGACTCGATTATTTACAGACCACCGTCATATAGCTGAAATATTGCTGTGTGTGGCGTTAAATAACAAACAAACAAATAAAAATACTGTTGCCAGGCAACCAAGAACAGGGGTTCCTGTTGCCAGGCACCAAAGAACTGTAGTGTTTTATCACTCATTGGCTACTATTGGAAGGCAAATCCTTTACAGTCATGGGGGCGGTCGGGTAGCCTAGTGGTTGAAGCGTCACGACGAAGACCCGGGTTCAATTCCCAACATGGGTACAATGTGTGAAGCCAATTTCTGGTGTCCCCCGCTGTGATATTGCTGGAATATTGCTAAAAGCGGTGTTAAACCATACTCACTCACTCACTCACTCACTCCTGGGTTTGCAATGATGTAACAATGTTAAAATGACCATTTAGTGTCCTATATGGTTAAGCTCTCTATCACAACACTTTATTGCGGTATATGTTTATAGGTGTTATAGGCTATAACGGAATGGCTGTTGTATACTGATGGAAAGAAAAAAGGGAACATAATGAAGGGAGTCATTTGTTTGATGCGGCGTAAAATCATACTCACTCACTCACTCACTTTACAGTCATGTGTTGAAGTATTAGGAATACACACCAGCCATGTGTGTGTGAGACATGAAATGATGTAATATGTGTGTGTGTGTGTGTATTTCAGATATTGTAGATGGCAACCTGAAGGCCATCATGCGTCTCATCCTGGCTCTGGCAGCTCACTATAAACCCAACAGTGTCAAACACTCGGCATACCAGCACTACCGCTCTCCTAGCAAGGGAAACCTGGCCGGGATAGCACAGGTAGGTTCTGCATGATTAAAACACATTCACATTTTCACTTTCACGATCTTGTAAGCGATGCTCTGATTGGTTGGATGAAAGGTCGATCTGACGTCACCTGTAATGGGATGCCCTCAGATCTTTGATGTAGGAGCAGCGAGCACAATTGTCTGATTAGACTGACTTTCACACAAGGTTCTAATTAGAGTGTTGATATATATAGTGTTGATATTGTCCCTATGTTACACCAGTGTGATGCCTCTGTGGTCTAGTAGACCGCCTCCGTGGTCTAGTGGTAGAGCGTCCGCCCGGAGAGCGGAAGGTCCGGAGTTCGATCCCCGGCCGCATCATACCAAAAGACGTTAAAAGATGGTACTTATTGTTACCCTGTCTGGCGCTCGGCATTAAGGGGCTAAAACAAGGACTGGTCGGCTCGGAGTCAGTATACTGTGTCTGAGTGGGGTATTCATGTTAAATTGCGGCATGGTATCTCAGTGAGCTAGCACTATAAATCGACATCAGTCCGGTCTAGTACAAGCAGCCACACACCCACATACATGTGCATGCACATCGCTCTATAAGTGCAATAATCTTGGATGCGACGTTAAACCCAATTTCACCTCACCTCCGTGGTCTAGTGGATGCAGCGTCAGCCTGGACAGCAGAAGGTCTGTGGTTCAATCCCCTGCCTGGTGCTCAGCATTAAGGGGCTAAAACAAGGACTGGTCGGCCCAGAGTCAGTACACTGTGTCTGAGTGGGGTATCTGTGTTGTCTCAGTGTTGCGCTATAATACTGGCAAATTCCAAATTGGTAAAAGCAGTGACATACATACAGAATCAGTCAAAGTACTCACTCACTCACTCACTCACTCACTCACTCACTCACTCACTCACTCACTCACTCACTCACTCACTCACTCACTCACTCACTCACTCACTCACTCACACACACACCCACCCGATCAGCAGGGTGAGTGCTTTTACAGCCATTATTACAACAACAATTCTATGACCTATTCACTAAATACTTTGTTCACTTGTGCAAGTGTCCATATCAGGAACTGGAAGTGCATACACCACTAGGACAAGAGCAGACAGCTGGACACAAAACTTGCCCAGACATTTCCGGCTGTTCAATTCATAAACTACCTGCAGTGAATAGTGCCTTGAAGCGTGACTAACGAGTCATATCCTTAATGGAGTCCCTACATTCACACTGATGGTGCTGTTCGGCCATGTTATTATGTTTTTACCACCTGTTGCATACATTCTCCATCCACACCAACTACTAGCTCCAGGCAACTTAACCGGAAACAGTTATTGGCCCGGAAAGCGATACCATCCCCTAAAGCATGATAACTTGCATCCTTTAGGCAATATAGTATCACCAAACTTGTCTTTCAGTGTATCTGATAATTTAAAAAAAATATTTTAATGTGTTACGCAGGTGCCTCAATATTTTGGTTATTATTAAGGAAAAATGTTGCGGTGTTACTGTTAAACCTGATGATTGTGAATCAAGACTATTGTAATTCAAATTTCATAAATACTGTTGATTTAAAAAAAATATTTTAATATTTCAATATTTTGGTTTTTATTGTTAAGGAAAAATGTTGCGGTGTTACTGTTAAACCTGATGTTTGAGAATCAAGACTATTGTAATTCAAGTTTCATAAATACTGTTGATTTCAAAAAAATATTTTAATATGTTACACAGGTGCCTCAATATTTTGTTTTTTATTGTAAGGAAAAATGTTACGGTGTTACTGTTAGACCTGATGATTGAGGATCAAGACTATTGTAATTCAAGTTTCATAAATACTGTTGATGAAAAAAAGTAAAGATATTAAGTGATATTCACAATCAGTTTCATTGATCGTCTATCTGAATTCATTCAAGCCCCGTGCAGAGCACCTGTTTGCTGAGGTCAACTAGACCTTCATTGAACACAGACCGGGAATTCAATTAGGGGTTGTATCAAAGCCAGTATGGCCATTATCCTTGTAACAATACTTTCTCATTGGCAACATTGAAATGGCAGGGCTGAAACTCAGTTTAGATGTTAGTGCAAATATTCCAATATTTGCCGTTTGAATTTTCATGCATCAATGCAGTGGGCGGACCTATGACGAGGATAACAATGGCGTTTTGGCAGGATGGAAACTGCATTGATGAGATACTGCAACTGTTCTGCTACAAGCTGTTTGTATTCTTCGTTTTGTTGACCGAAGTGTGTTGACTGTCAGGAGGCAACAGTTACGGTTGAACGACTACGCATTATGCGTCAAATTCCATTTTTTTTTCTTAACGGAGACCATATGCCGTGGTATTGATTCTCTGTAATACCATATTCATCGTATTTAATGCATGACACACACGGAGGTGAAAATACAAATACAGTCGTCTCACATACAGGAATAGGAATCTATTTTGTTTCAAGTGTGACACAGGTCATTCATAAAAGTGTTCAGGTGTACCCTTTGATGTTTGAGTGGGCCAAACAGAAGAATAATTGTCAATGGAAAAAGAAAGCTCTTTATTACAGCTTTGTTCATGTTTTTGTGAGAAAGTACGTCTATCACTGGCTTCACATTATAAATATTGCAATAAGTATTTGTAGTAAACAAAATGTTATTTCTATAAGTGTGTCCTAAGACACTGGGATATTTGCTTAACTGTGTCATTATGAATTTAACTGAGGCACTTTAATACAAGGAATTTGGAACACTGGCATATCACTGACTACATGTCTAGTACACTGCTACAAAGTTAAATTACAACAGTAAGATTTTTTTAACTTGCCTGACAATATCTTTGGAGTCCCAGGTGAATTCATGTGATCTGTCAGGACGATTCCGTGATCATGGATTACACAGAAGTGGTAACATCTGTGACATGCTTCATTGTGGACTTCTGGGCACGACAATGCTACCAATTCCCATTCCTAACTTTGAATGCAGTGACACTTGTTATACTAAATACGGTAACTGTGTGTATTACTTTCTGTGCTATGCCTGTATTGGCTGTGTATTGTAGGGTTTATAATAAACGTATACACTAGTTGAACACTTCACTGTCGGAATGTCGGTCACGATGCTGAGGAGAATACGCTCACTATGATCAAGATGGTAGTATTTTGTCATATACTGTTGGTTACAGAATAGGTGTTTGATGTCAAGATTCAGGGTATTTTAATGCATACAGCTTGTCCTGTTGAAATTGCCAAACTGATCAATAGTTAAGGTATCATAGGGACTAGTAGAAATGTTGTTATATACTGTTGGTTACAGAATAGGTTTTTGATGTCAAGGTTCAGGTTTTTCAATGCATACAGCTTTAGAAATTGGCACTAGTCTTGTTGTCCTTGTCAAACTGCCCAATAGTTAAGGTGTCATAGGGACTAGTAGAAATTTTGTCATGTACTGTTGGTTCAACATAGGTTTGTGATGTCAAGGTTCAGGTTTTTGATGCATATACATCTTTGTTCTCCAAAGTTGTCTTCAAACTATGTTGACTTCTTTTGACGTGACTAGAATGACCAGCTGTGGTATATTAACATTAATACTGGTTGGAAATAATACCTAATATAAGTGACCGGTGAAGACCCGGGGTAGAATAGGTCTTTAGCAACCCATGCTAGCCGTAAAAGGCGACTATGCTTGTTGTAAGAGTCAACTAACGGGATTGGGTGGTCAGGCTCGCTGACTTGGTTGATGCATGTCATCGTATCCCAATTGCATAGATCAATGCTCATGATGTCCATCACTGGATTGTCTGGTCCAGTGTTGATTATTTACAGACTGCTGTCATATAGCTGGAATATTGCGTTAAACAATAAACAAACAAACAAAACTGTCGTGTCACCCGAGTCAACTCTAGTTCCCCACTGTTGAGAATGATGGTCTTGGGTGAACTGTGGAAGTTGTCACTTCGTAAACATATTGCCGGTTTGATCAAATTATCAGATTTGTTTTTGAAGAGGAATAACTGTGTATGATGTCAAAACACAGGCAACGGAAAATTTGTAATGGTCAATATTTGTTGTTTGTTAGGGTTGAGAAAATTCTTTGTCTTCCCCAAATGAGCTGGACACTTGTTGCTTGTGATGTAGGTTAAGAGTAGTCTCCCTTGCCACACAAGAAGAGAAAATGTTATTGTGACAGATTTCTGTGATGCTTGTGTCCATGGGACACAACACAATGATGTTTAATGTAAACACTGTATTTACTTCTGTTCTTTGACTGTCTTAGAACAATGACTTAGTATTCATGGCGAGGTTTACTTTGTTTGTTGTTTAACGCCGCACTCAGCAATATTCCAGCTGTATGACGGCTGTCTGTAAATAATCGAGTTTAGACAAGACAATCCAGTGATGGACGTCATTAGCATTTGGGATACGATGACATGCATCAACCAAGTCAGCGAGTCTGACCACCCGATCCTGTTAGTCGCCTCTTACGACAAGCATCGTCACTCCTGGGGTCAAGACAAGAGTTCTAGTCACTTATGTCATCACTGATCACACCTGCAAGTCCAGACAGACGCCACCCACGCAACACGGTGTCTTTGTTCTTTGCGACTGCGTCAAAAGCCGACACGAGCCAGTGCGCATGTATGGTTTTAGCGGTACTCTAATCAGTGCTAATAAGCGGTGATATTTGGTGTGTGATTGGATTAATGTAATGATGGATTAAAGTGAAGATTCTCACATTCTCCTTCTTGAATCACTGATAGTGATGTAGACATGGAATTTATGTATAACATTTTATATTTTAAAGAGGGTCTATACTGGTGGGAGACATAATAAAAATATATTTTTATGTTTAATATATATTTCTTTTCCAGCTGCTTTTTAGTAGAGGCGGCTGGCCCGTGAAACGAAAAATAAAATATGTGTTGCCCAATGGATACTAAAAATGATCTGGGTCAAGCCAGCTGAGATCTGTGTAACTCTGTGTCTGTTGTTGCAGGGTGCATCAGCAGCGTTAGCGGATGCGCGACGCCATGCAGCACGTGCCGGACACCGGTATCGCCGCAGTAGGGACGCAGCTTTCAATGAGCGACGGTGAGTATTCTTCCGGGGCCCTGTGTTTAAGTCCATGTATAGTAAGGTGATACCATCCTCGCTTGTCTAGGTTATGTTGGGGGGGGTAGTACAGTGTGGGAAGTCGTGGCTGGAGAAATGCAAAAAGCGACTCAAAAACCTGACTCGGTAGATCAAGTTATTAAAGGGAGGAATTTCCTTTCCATAAATGTTGTTTAATGTAAATATTATATTCATTAATAAACAACTTGGCACTGTTCGAGTTTTGCATATGTTAAATATCACTGTAAGATTGTTAATTTGTATCACTTTTTTATATAACTCATATATGATATATGATATACCTTATGCGAGACCATTAATATGTATATGTGATATACCTTATGCTATACCATTAATATGTATGATATATGATATACCTTATGCGAGACCATTACTTATGATGTATGATATACCTTATGCTAGACCATTAATATGTATGATATATTATATATGATATACCATGTGCTTGCTATAACTATGATATATCCCAACTGTGATTATAAAGCATATATCACATCTTTTGTAATTTGGATCAGAAGATGGTAAGATGTGCTGTTGTGTTAATATGAATATATCCTTCAGTGTAGTGCTTATGCTCAATCTGCATCCTGGAGTGTTAATTCCTGGGACCTCGTTTCTCTGCCTCTGCTACAGTGTGCCACTTTGATTTGCAACCCTGAGTGCATTATCAGAGTTATTGTCCTTGTCAATGTGTTCTGGGGAAAGGTTATATATAACCCCTGCATGTCTGCATGTAAACTTGCTGTGACTGAATATACTGCATGAACGATGACGTGGGTGTTCATGAGAGCTGAAACATCTCCTTCAAGGTCATTTGGTTCAATCAAGGGAGATAACTCAAGTCAGTGTTAAAGGGTTATGGCAAAGACTCCTATGTTTGAAAATGCAAAATAATGGATATTGGGAAGGGAGGTAACTCTTATTGGCATAAAGGGTTTTGAAAAGGGGAATCTCATATTTGCAAAATACAAAATTTTGGAACGGAGAATAACTTTAATGGATGTGTAAGGTTATGGAAAAGGGGTTATTTTCTATTTGTAAAGTATGAAAGTTTGGAAATGCTTATTGGTAAAACATTGAACTGTTTGAGACTTGCCTCTCAGCTGTCAGATGTTAATCAAACCATTTCTGAGAAAATTTGATTTGGGGAAAACTGGATAAGTTGTGGACCAATTTATTGTAACCTGAATTCCTACATTTTAAGATCAAGTATTCAATGGCAAGGCACGTATGTACATGCGTCCAAAAGTTTGATCACTTGTGAAGGTGGCCAAATTACAACATTGTAGCAGATTCCAGCCATTATTGCTGACTGAGCAGTTCCCCCCACAGTGCCAGCACTAGCACTTGCCTCCGATAACAGCTCATTCTACATCTCATTCTCATCTCTTACTAACAGGTCAAGCATTTCCTTTCCAGAAATTGTCATTTTTTTCATGTTTCTTTTTTTTAGGAAACGCCTAAGTCCAGAGTACTCAGAAATAACAAGCAAAATGTAGGTCACGGTGACCCACTTATCAAAATTGCTTTTCTAGTTATCTGCTTTTCTCACCATTGACATAAGCCTTAATTTTAATCCTGGCAGCGGTTTTGGTTTGGGGATTCCCCTGTTACTAAATATAGCCCAGTGGTAGGTATGGGTACGTGGTGCTCCCCATCAGCAAACCTAAAGCATAGAAACATGGCACAGGCTTCATTTGACTGTTATTATAATTTCATACCTCTTTTGTGACCTATTACTTACTTTTCCCACTTGATTTATATATTTCCAGTTTGTTTGTTTTTTATTATGATGGTGTATCTATGAGCAATATCAATTTTATTAATATTAATAATTTATCAATATCAATTTTATACAGGAAATTTGAGATGATTGTCGTCTCTCCGCTAACTTTGGAAAACATCAAACAATTTTTTGTCAATATTTAGAGGCGAAATAAAATGAAGCGTACGTTGATCACAAACATTTGGTTAAACCTGGTGAAGGCTAATTTTCATTTGGTGATTTTCTTGCAAATAACAAGGCTCCGTAATCAGGTTTTTTCCTAATGATTAAAAACTTATTTGTGAAATTGTCACCCTCAAAATCAATTTTGGTAATTGTTTTGCCCATAAAGTTTGATGGAATACCCGCTAGGCTTTAATGCTATGACACAACTAGATGCTATACAAGTGTCATTATTATTATTATTATTATTATTATTATTATTATCATCATCATCATCATCATCATTATTATTATTATTATTATTATTATTAAGGTATGCTGATGGGGACCAGGCAGTGTGTTAATGTGTGTTGATTATTCGGTATAAGATAAACCTTCACAGTACTCATCCCTTATCCATCATTAGTATCGTCTGTATCCATCCTGGTAAAGTCTTTCTGTCTAGATTAACTTTTCCTCGTCATTTCATTCATTGAATGTCCTCCTAGTTTCAGTCCAGTCATCTCCTTGCTCTGTAGGGTTCACGGGAAGCCTGGTCGTCTTAGGTGCTGCAATTCCTGAGCTGACATGTAGTGATATAACAGAAATACTGTCCAGAGCGCATTAAACACAACTCACTCACTGACCAGTGAAGATCTGGGGTCTTAAGCAACCCATGCTTGCCATAAAAGGCGACTATGCTTGCCATAAAAGGCGACTATGCTTGTCGTAAAAGGCGACTAATGGGATCGGGTGGTCAGGCTCGCTGACTTGGTTGATGCCTGTCATCGATCCCAGTTGTGTGGATCGATGCTCATGATATCAATCACTGGATTGTCTGGTCCAGACTCGATTATTTACAGACCGCCCTCATAAAGCTGGAATATTGCTGAGTGCGGCGTTAAACAAAAAACCAACCAACCAACTTGAAATTAATATTTATTTTAATTGGTTCACTAAGAAGCTCTGCACACATCAGTAAATGTCACAAGTCCTTCTTGAATTTTTTGTGTCTTGAACAAGCAGACATATGTTAGTTTTGAACCCTGGGTGTTCACAGCACCATCTGAGAACTGAATAGTGTTGGGTTTGCTGTGAGTTGTATCACTGTACCACTGTACAATCCATGGGCTGTGTCCAAGTGTCCTTGTCTCCTCGTGTTTAAGGATTTGTAATGCTCCAAAGAACTATTGAATATAATTATAATCATAATTATAATTATAATGATGTTCAACATTTTGTCTCTACTCGACAAAACAAATTTCAGAGGAGGTAACTCAACTGAAGGGAGATAACTTGCAATTCAGGGGAGATAATTCAAAGAGCTATTATGAAACCCCACATGAAACAACTGCACTAGTATATACATTAATTGCATGCCAGAAACAGTTTCAGTCCTTCTAGGGTTGTCATTGTATATCACCATCGTGATGTATCCATACATTTTTAATAGCAATACTGTATTTTTTTAAATTTATGAATATTGACACTAAAATATCCATACACTGTTTACATTTATAAGATTACCTTGTAAGGATGGACAATGAGAATGCTGAACATTCTTTTTTGAATATCTAACTGATGCAGCCAAGTTCATATTTAGCATTATTTTGATTAATTGCAGTTCTGTATAGGTCTACATAGGTATCATCTTCCCGAGGCAAGAGAGTTAACTTACTTTAAAAGTCCAGTTTCCACCCTTGCTGAACTAGGCTGGAATTCCTGGGCTCGGTCGTAGCGCCACCAGTGGCTATTGCGAGTAATGTCCTTTCTATGCCTCTCCTATTGACCAATCAGATTCAACCTCTCGTATCACTTGCATTTGATTGAAACAAAAGGGTGGCGCCCAGTCAAGACGATCTGATTGATAATCAAGATCTATATTGTGATAAAACGAGTCTTACATCGCGAAGTGCATCAAATCACGTGAGCACCTTGATTAAAAGCATGAAAAGATTTAGACAATATCTGTTAACAACGTGTTAGCGATGCACATGCTTTGCAAATCCTGCAGTCGACCGAAATCTGCATGACACTTTACGAACCGGATTTCGATTTCAGTGCGCGATTTTGATTGAACTATGCATAGACTCGTTAGTCCAGCCAAAATGTAACTCCATAATACCAACCTAGTTCGGCAAGGATGGAAACTGGTCTTTTATAGTCAGTTAACTCACCTGCCTCGGGAAGATGCATAGGTATCTGTGTACTCAGAATAATTAACTTCTCTTTAGTAGATATATCGAGATGTCATGATACTTTTGAGTCAGTATTTATGGATACTAATATTTTCAATCAATGACACCCTATGCATGCGGAGGTTTTGTTGTTTATTGTTTGTGTCTGTAACAGTTGCACCCGGTGTTTGGTTCCACCCATGCATGTGAAGAATAACTCTGTGTGAAGGACGCAGTGAAGTGGGACATATCTACATCCCTTGGTACTCTGCCACACTCTCGGAGGGGGGGGGACGGGGGGCCCAGTCGTCTAAAGGGCCGTGATTGTCTAGGCCAGACTTGATTATTTACAGACTGCCGTTAATTAGCTGGAATATTGCTGAGTCAGGCATAAACAAAGACTCAACCTAGGACCTGCATCACCTTGGGCTTTCTTCCCATATCAGGGGCACAGGTGGCCCAGTCGTCTGAGGCGCCGCGATTCGCTGTGCAGAGTTGCGTCCCTTGGGCACGCCAGAAACCTATGATTGTGGGTTTGAATCCCGGTTTGCTCCGATTATGTTTCTAGGTTTGTCAGCACCATACCCGTGCTTGTGGGTTTGACCCATGTGGTAAACATCAGAGACCTGCATCACTTAGGGCTTTCCTCCCACATTAAGCTGACACGCCGCGATATAACTAGAAAACTGTTAAAAGCTGTGTTAAACCCAACTCACTCACTCACTCATTCTTCCCATATCAGCTTGGAGAGAAATTAACATTGTGTGTTATAAATGTTTATCAAATCAGGGACGTGGCATAAACCCATTAAATTGTTTCTCTTCGCAATTCAAAGATGTTCTGCATTAGTTGTGAAAACATTTGTGAAACATTTGTTAAGTTTACTCTCAGCGTTTGGATACACGTAGGTTGTTTTAACAGATACTGATATGTTACGTCTCTTGACAAATGCAAACAATACAACAATACTCTTCATGAATATTGGTTCAAAAGAAGTTAACGACAAAAAAACCAAAAAAACCTGATAAATTACTTTAATCATAGTTCTAAATGACTTTTAAAACTTTAGAAAAAAGATGTTCTTTCTCCAGATATGTAGTGTAACAATAAATGTTCATGAGTAATCGTAAGGCAGTCCCATGTCCTATATACACAGGCTGATATTAGGCTGGCCCCAAGTCGGCATCAAACATCAGTAAACTTACCCAAATAGGAAATAAATAACATTAACATTAAATAAACAACATGTGAATATGTTTGATTTAAATATTCCACTTATACAGGAACAATAGGTGGTAGAGTCATTAATGTATTAAATGCTGTGTCAAAATACTTGTATAATTATGAAATAAATATCTTCTAGCAAAATCAGTAGTTTGCATAAAATAATTATTTTTCCTAATCTGCTTGCCAGGAGCATTTAGTTTAGAGTTGGATCCCCGTAACACAGTGAGACCAAAACTGCTGAGGGGGCACAGGTAGCCCAGTCGTCTAAGGCGCCGCGATTCGCTGTGCAGAGTTAGAAACCTATGATTGTGGGTTCGAATCCCGGTTTGCCCCGATTATGTTTCTAGGTTTGTCAGCACCATACCAGTGCTCGTGTGTTTCACCAAAGTGGTAAACGTCTGAGACCTGCATCACTTCGGGCTTTCCTTCCACATTAAGCTGACACGCCGTGATATAACTGGAAAACTGTTAAAAGCAGCGTTAAACCAAACTCACTCACTCACTCACTAAAACTGCTGAGGTAGCAGAAAGTATGTCGAGTTGTATCCGTTGCCTCTGTGTACAAACCATGGAACAATGAAATATCTGCAAACAAACTTAGGGGCGCTGGGGTAGCCTAGTGGTTAAAGCGTTTGCACGTCTCACTGAAACTCCGGGTTCAGTTCCCAACGTGGGTACAATGTGTGAAGCCCATTTCTGGTGTCCTCTGCCGTGATATTGCTAAAACTCACTTACTCAAACATCGATAAAGCTAAATGTATATTCCAAAGGCAATTGACGTGACTCAGGGTTAGAAATTGGCAATAGTCCTGTAGTCTTTGCCAAACTGCCCAATAGTTAAGGTATCATAAGGACTAGTAAATATTTGCCATTTTTAAGGGTTTTGCTATATGTTATCATTATAAGGACTAGTGGACCAAACTGTTAGTTTCTACCGCTGTGACTGTATTAGCGTTAATCCGCCAGACTCCCCGGATTCAAACCACTCACTCATGCTGTGTGACTGAGTAGCTGAAATATACCTGATGTGATACTCCCTCTCTCAGCATGGGACAAGGGCCGTGTTCTGCAAGCCGATCTGATCGCTACGAAACCCGTATAGTATGGGCAATACAGCACTCGTATGACTGAGATCGCCATGAAGAACAGGGCCCAGATCATACAGAGAGCCTGAGTGTGTGTGTGTGTGTGAGTGTGAGTGTGGAGAGGTGTTGAACCCCCAGATTCACGCCAGTCTCCCAGAATGTTGGCTGTTTGCTCAGCCTCTCACACGTATCACAACCCGAGGTGGGATGGAAGGAAGGACAATGCTCCTAGTTCGTGATGTTGGGGAAAAAGTCTGTCTGGACACGGCGTGAACCAGTTAACGCACGACCCATGTGAAACGTACAGTTTGTTACTTGTTGTGGTGATCATTTGTAGATGTTTAGAATATAGTTTCTGATACTTGGGAACCAGTATTCGGGTCTGTTAACTACCGTTACTGTATTTTAATGTTTATTTTAATTTTGATTTTTATTAATTTGATTTTAATGTCTAATATCCAAAGCTCCTGGTAACTTTTTGAGCAATTTTTACTCTAGGGTTTCTATTTTGATTGGTTATTACATTTTTCATTGAGTAACCAATATTTTATTCATCACTCTATTGGGTTTTTCCCAAAATTAGTGAACATTTTAAGATTAAAAAAAAAATGAGATAAAGTTTTAGATACATTGCTTATCTGTAGCTCTGAATATCTGATTCAGTTTTAATTAACAGTTTGATGTGAGACATAGTTACCTCTAACAGTAAACCTTTCGTTCAACTCTTGTGTTAACATAGCCATTGACCTTGAGGTATGGTGGTATTTGTCTGACTTTGACGTATTGGGATATTTGCCTGAGATATGAGATTCTGTGCTTCTAACAGTTAAGTCAGTATTCATAACAAGGATGTGAATCTTTTCGCGGATCTGTGAATTTTAGTGACCACAAATTTGTAAAAATCTGATGGCTTCAGGGGGGGCCAAGCTCCCCCCATAAACACTGTAAAGTTATGGATCACGCTCCATTGAAAAGAAGTTTCAGCTGAAAAGGAAAATATCCTGTCTCATCCCTGCATAACAAGGCTAGAAGGTCTGTTTTAGAATGATCCATTGCTTGTTTTCAATGTCTGTTTTGAAGCCCGTCTCATGTATTATGACTATATGGGTTTTTTAAAAATTTAGTTTCTATGATTGTTAGAGTGAGATTATTTTCTCTGTAAAAATACCTGTAGTATTTTATTTCAACCAAAGCTGTCACAGGTATTACAAACTTGGTACTCGTATAATTGCAATTTGTTTGAAGAATTTTGGAAAAATAAATGTAACGTTTTAAAATGGAAATAAGTAAGTCAGCCCCAGACACATTACATAAAGAGGAATAGTATATGTATGATGCAGAATTTACCATACAACATGCAGGATTCAGCTCAGACAGGTTGAGTGTCACAAATCCCTTCGTTCATCCTCAGATTAGGGGCGTTGGGGTAGCCTAGTGGTTAAAGCGTTCGCTCGTCACGCCGAAGACCCGGGTTTGATTCCCATGGTACAATGTGTGAAGCCCATTTCTGGTGTCCCCCGTGATATTGCTGGAATATTGCTAAAAGGGGTGTAAAACAATACTCACTCATTCTCAGATAACCAAACCTTAGACCAAAAATCTAAAAAACTTGTTTCATGTAAAACTTTCCCTCTACACAGGACCCATAAATAAGGAAAACAATTCTATAAAATTTTAATGATTTTATTAGTTCAATTGGATGATAACAATTCAGTGTTGCAGGTCAGACACGGGTCAGTCACAGATATTGATGTTATGACCCAAGATGGAGTCAGGCTGGCACAGTTGATTTGACCCTTGAGTAAACTGTAAAATTATCCCTAATTAATACACCAGTGTTAAACAATTCTTGATTAGAATAGAAAAACAAATTTGAGAGGTCGTCATGTTGGTGTTAGTGCTTAGTGAAACCCTATACTGTTATTCATGAGTTATTCGCTGAGCGTGGTATACGGTGTTGGCCATATCTCTGTTATCTACCACCTGGGAGCACCTGTGTCAAGTGGGTCAAGATACAGCTACAATCATGTGTATGGCAGATTCCATTTTCTTGAGGTAGGATTTTAAATTTGTAATTTTTGAGCAATAATGATATAAGAATTAATATTAATATTTGTAAGTTAAACATGTTAAACACTGGGTAACTAAGCAATGTAAGTAAACAACATTGTAAATAAATAATGTAAACAAACAAGTGTAAATAAACAAGTGTAAATAGATAACGGTGTAAATAAACTGTAAATAAATAATGTAAACAAATAAGTGTAAATAAACCAGTGTAAAAATAATGTAAATTAACAAGTGTAAATAAACAAGCGTACTAAAATAATGTTAACAAACAAGTGTAAATAAACTGTAAACAAACAAGTGTAAATAAACAAATGTAAATTAAAAAGTGTAAATAAACAAGTGTAAAAAATAATGTAAAGAAACAAGTGTGAATAAACACATGTAAGTAAACAAGTATAAACAGACAACAGTGTAAATAATGTAAACAAATACCTGTAAATAAAGAAGGTAAATAAGCAACAGTGGCGATAAACGAAATTGAAACAAATAAAAATGTCAACTAATACAAATAGTACAGTGAAAACAAGTTTGATCTTTGCCGAGTCGTTGAGAGAGCTACCTACACATCAAACACATCCATTAATTATAACAACTTATTGCAAATAAGTAAGAAAGTCATTTTTCACCAGAAGCTTGGTAAATATGTAGGGAGAGGAGCTCTCAATTCTTGTAAATGCCCTGACTATTTCCATATCATGTAGTTCACATGGGTTGTTATGTTGGTTATGATGTAAGATGGGTCTAGTCACCTGACTATGCTTGTCGTAAAAGGTGACTAACGGGATCGGGTGGTCAGGCTCGCTGACTTGGTTGATGCATGCCATCGATCCCAATTGCCTTGATCGATGCTCATATTAATCACTGGATTGTCTGGTCCAGACTCGAGTATTTACAGACCGCCGTCATATAGCTGGAATATTGCTGAGTGCGGCGTTAAACAACAAACTAACCAACCAACAAACCTGGTCCACACATTACAGATCACAATGACAACTTGTGTCCAACTTGCTGTGGCAGAAAGTTTTTATTTAATTAGAATTTCTTCAGTCTTTAAATCTTTACAGTAGATTGACGAATGTGCTGTTGCTCCCTGCTGTGGATGCCATGAATGCTTTCGTACACTTGTAATGTAGTTTGTCTGTTTGATGTTTAACGCTGCTCTCAGCAACATTCCAGCTACATGACGGCTGCAATATAATACAATATTAGCATCTGTGTCGTGTCCCTTGCTTTGCTGGGGCGGTCAGGTAGCCTCGTGGTTAAAGCGTACTCACATACTCACTCACTCACTCACTCACTCACTCACTCCTGGCTTTGCAATGATGTAACAATGTTAAAATGACCATTTAGTGTGCTATATGGTTAAGCTCTCTATCACAACACTTTATTGCGGTATATGTTTATAGGTGTTATAGGCTATAACGGAATGGCTGTTGTATACTGATGGGAAGAAAAAAGGGAACATAATGAAGGGAGTCATCTGTTTGATGACACAATCTGCGGGTACCTGCAGATGATCAGTTCTAGGCCAGAGTTTTACCTATTTTAAGGGTCCTTGCAGGCAATACGAGGGTCCTGTAAAGTAATAAAATGGCGAAGTTTGCTGTACATTTGAAATTACTTTGGAGCCTGGAATGAATCAATGATCAGTGGTCATGATTGATGGAGCTTGTCACGCCGAAGACCTGGGTTCGATTCCCGACATGGGTGCAATGTGTGAAGTCCATTTCTGGTGTCCCCCGCCGTGATATCGCTGGAATATTGCTAAAAGCAGCGTAAAACCATACTCACTCACTCACTCACCCCATGATTGATGGATGAAATGACACACACCCGTAACTGCTCTTTAAGCGCTGTAGGTACAATGAATATTATTGTGTGTCCCTTGGGAGATAGTATATTTTTTATCTGCTTCCATTCTCTACATTTGTGCATCGCGTAAAACCCTGAGGTCAAAATAGTGTGTGTGGGGGGGGGTAGAGTCTAAGGTGCCACGATTCGCTGTGCAGAGTTGCGTACCTTAGGCACTCCAGAAACCTATGATTGTGGGTTCAAATCCCAGTTTGCTCTGATTATGTTTCTAGGTTTGTCAGCACCATACCCGTGCTTGTGGATTTCACCGAAGTGGTAAACGTCTGAGACCTGCATCACTTCGGGCTTTCCTCCCACATTAAGCTGACACGCCGCGATATGACTGGAATACTGTTAAAAGCGGCGTTAAACCCAACTTAACTCACTCACTCACTCAAAATAGGGGCGCATGGGATACTAACTTTTCACTTTGTGTCAATGTGTCACAGGAAACTGTCTCCCATGTTTCTGTATGTTCCCTTATTATTCTCTGTCAGTATTTCACTAAATAAATACGTAATCCAGTTACCTGAATACTAACACATATAACCGTGTCTTCGTATGTTGATAAGAAGTATATAACTGAAGACGTCTGTCAGCCATAGTTCTATGCTTTCCCTTATTTTATTGTGTGAGTATATTGAGGACGCGTTTCTGCACTCCAGGTACCAGGAGAGTAGTTCCGACCAGTTCAGTGAGTCTGACGAATGTTACCGCCCCACAAGTCGAAGTCGGGCCCGCCATGCGCGGCGTGACGTGGAGGGCAGCAGCAGCAGCCCCACCACCAGCATCTACGGCAGCCCTCGCACCAGCGTCAACCTCGACAAGCTGAAGGCGTCGTCACGGGATAGTCTCATATCTCGCAGCAAGTCCACGGACTATGTCACAGGTAGGTGAACCTGTTAACTTCGGGAATCATCTATCATAGTTTCAATATGTCACTGATGTAGGTTTGATAATCATAATCATAATCATAATGTATTGATTTGGCCTCTTGAAAGGTTTTGATAGCAGGCTTTTCTAAATTAGCAGGGTCAGATAGCAGACATTATTATTATAACATGTTAATAATGACATCATTTCATAATGACATCATGACGGTGAAATCATTGTGAGAGGTTTTCATTAGGACATCATCACTGAGGGGTTTTCATTATGACATCATCACTGTGAGGGGTTTTCATTATGACATCATCATTGTGAGGGGTTTTCATCATGACATCATCACGGTGAGGTGTTTTCATTATGACATCATAGTGAGGTGTTTTCATTATGACATCATCATTGTGAGGTGTTTTCATTATGACATCATTGTGAGGTGTTTTCATTATGACATCATCAGTGTGAGGGGTTTTCATTCTGACATCATTGAGAGTTTTTCATTATGACATCATTGTGAGGGGTTTTCATCATGACATCATCACTATGAGGTGTTTTCATCATGACAGCTAAGGACAGTGGTGCAGAGTTTGAGGACACGATGACGATGATCGACAAGACGCAGTACGAGGAGCTGCTGAACGAGTACTCGGAGCTGGCAGCGGCCATGAAGGAGACGAGGCAGGAGCTGTCCAAGCTGCAGGATCTGGTAAGACACGCCGCCCTACTCGCACCGGGAACTTGCATAGTTCTCATGTAGATGACACCGGGGGTTCCGGGTCAAAGAGGTCACAGCTTCCTGTATTGGAAGTGGAGAGTTAGTGGATCGCTTTGTCAGATTTGAAGTCTTGGTTGATTGTTCATCATCGTACACGATGATAGTGCTCGTAATATCAATAACTAATTTGTCTGGTCCAAACTAAAGACACGGATGACCCATCTGCTGCGAGAATAGGTCTTCAGCAACCCATGCTTGCCGTAAAAGGTGACTATGCTTGTCGTAAAAGGCGACTAACGGGATCAGTGGTCAGGCTCGCTGACTTGGTTGATGCATGTCATTGTATCCCAATTGCGTGGATCGATGCTCATGATATTAGTCACCGGATTGTCTGGTCCAGACTCGATTATTTACAGACCGCCGTCATATAGCTGGAATATTGCTGAGTGCGGCGTTAAATAACAAACCAACCAACCAACCAACCAACCAACCAACCAACCAACCAATCTGCTGCTCCTATGGGTTGCATGAGTCCTAGTGTACACTACGATTGTCGGAAGTACTTTCGCATAGATCTACGATAGTCGTGCCACTACGATGGCCTTGTGGAATGAGAGCTTGTATTCCTGATGCATGCTGTCACCTATAAGTTGGTCTCGATTAGTTACATGCTGCTACTTCAATATTTTAGAACTACTGCCCATTGTTGTTGTCAAATGCTGGAGTGACCCTCACGAAGGGGTAGAATAGGTCTTCTGCAACCCATGCTTGTCGTAAGAGGCGACTAACAGGATCAGGTGGTCAGGCTCGCTGACTTGGTTGATGTATGTCATCATATCCAATTACGTGGATCGATGCTCATATCATCAATCATAACAGGATCAGGTGGTCAGGCTCGCTGACTTGGTTGATGTATGTCATCCTATCCAATTACGTGGATCGATACTCATGATGTCAATCATAACAGGATCAGGTGGTCAGGCTTGCTGACTTGTTGATGCATGTCAATGCATAAATCGATACTCATGTCAATCACTGGATTGTCTGGTCCACGTCATATAGCGGGAATAGGTGGAATATTGCTGAGTGCAACAAAGATATATGTAAGACTGTTGCTTGTGTTTGACCGGTTGTCTTGTGTCCCCCAGCTCCTGAGTGGCAAGGCTCCTGAAGGGGACAATGAGAAACACGACGACATGTTCGAAGGCTCGACACCTCACGAAAAAATAGTATGTATAAACAATTTCAGTCAGTCCTTGTTTGCAATAGGAATCACTGGATTGTCTGGTCAAGTCCAGACTCGATTATTTATAGGTTTTTGTCATAAGGCTGGGATACTGCTGAGTGCAACGTTATACAATAAACAAACAATTATAGGGACCTCCTATATTCTTTTCTAACATCTTTTTTAACAGTTATGACAGACCCCTTGACTTTCATGCTTGATTTGACTGCCTCCATGGTCTAGAGGTAGAGCGTCCGCCCAGAGAGCGGAAGGTCCTGGGTTTGATCCCCGGCCGCGTCATGCCAAAAGACGTTAAAAGATGGTACTTGTTGTTACCCTGTCTGGCGCTCGGCAAGGGGTTAAAACAAGGACTGGTCGGCTGGAAGTCAGTATACTGTGTCTGAGTGGGGTATTCATGTTAGACTGCGGCATGGTATCTCAGTGTGCTAGCACTATAAATCGGCATCAGTCCGGACGAGTACAAGCACCCACACACTCACACACACACACACGTCGCTATATAAGTGCAATAATCTTGGACGCGACGTTAAACCCCATTTCACCCCACCTAATGCTTGATTTCAAACACTGGAGACAGACTATATAAGTGCCCTGGGGGTCTAGAAAATATTGAAGAGGGCACTTACATGATGTGATGTTGCAGGCGGTGTTGCGAAGTCGGCTGCTGCAGCAGAGTGAGCTGTGTGAGGACATGAGGGCGGAGCTGTCCAAGTCGAAGAACGAGTGTATGCAGCTCCAGGGAACTCGGGTAGGTCATGTGACATTTGGCGTTAGTTACGGAAACCTTTTTGGGACATTTGCTTTTTTATTGGTTTTGTTAAATTTCAAGAAGATGATCTACCTCGGAATACATTTATGTACTTTTTTTGTTAGTTCAATCGATTGGTGATGGCAAATTGTGAAGAAGTTGTAGTGAATCTTGTCATCTAGCATCTTGAAATTCCTGGTTTGCAGAATTTGCAGAAGTTTTCCCTGTTCATGGAGTGTGGTTTCTATGTTGACAAATTGCATAATTACACTTTTTCTTTGAAATTGACATTTCTCTTCAGAATAACTGCTTTTTACATGGAATTATATTTGAAAACAGCCAAATGGCTTGTCCAGGATGTACAATCATCTTACTGTCCGCAGGAGATCCTGTGAATTCAAGTTAAAAAGTACCAGCATTTGTACTTTACTAAGAAAGTGTTATCCCAAATGTAACATTTGTTACATTTGACCACTTTCTTCTTATTGTGCATACAAAGCTTTCGGCCGTACCATTTGACACTAATCAAAGGGGTACACAAAGTAAGTGATCTAGACTACCGGTTGTCCGACTTCCACTTTGTGGAAGCCTGGCGGCTGAGTTGTTGGTCAGATCGCTGACTTTGTGTGCTTGCGAATGGTGCCTGACTCTGAGTGTGTGGGTTCGAATCCTGGATGCGACTCAACCTCCAAAAGTGCGAGAATTTGTACCTTTTCTCAGAAAGTGTAATCCCAGATATGACATTTGTAGCAGCCCAACTGATGTCCTACTTACAGTGGCTTTTGTGGACTGGCAACTCTAAAAATTACCAGTCCCCCCTAATTTTTGCCAGTCTCAACAAGTCGCTACAAATGGTGGTAACAGACAAGCTGACTTTGTTCGAAAAATGTACTGGGGCGGTCGGGTAGCCTAGTGGTTAAAGCATTAGCTCGTCAAGCCGAAGACCCGGGTTCGATTCCCAACATGGGTACAATGTGTGAAGCCCATTTCTGGTGTCCCCCGCCGTGATATTGCTGGAATATTGCTGACAGCGGCGTGAAACCTCACTCACACACTCACTCACTCGAAAAATGTACTTATATGAATATCGCCGATGTTTTGATTTAAGATTTAAAAGGTAGTTTATTTGCTGGTCCACAGGAACTGGCAGTCAAGCCTAATTTACTGGTAAAAAACTGGTAATTACCGGTAAACAGGAATGCTGCATGTATAATAGACACCGAGGTAAAGTGTGTGTTTGTGTTTCAGTCCGGCCTCCAACACCGGCTCTGTGAACAGAACATCTCGCTGTCCGCCCTCAAGTCAGAACTGCTGCAGAAGGACTTCCAGAAACAGAACATGGAAGCGGAGAAGGTCAGTAGGCCCGATACAGAACCTGGGGCTCCGTTTACTTGTGAAGGAATCTAGCTATCTGATTGGCTAGTCATCGTCTTATACACGTTGGTTGATGGCATGATGTTTGATGTGTCGTCACTTGCTTGTAACGTCACAGTTGACCATTTTCACACTTTGATTTACAAAACTGAAAGTTAGATGGCATCACAAGATAGATCTCATTGTTGCACACAAATAGTTCACTGAAAATGTGTACTCGTAATGATAGCTTTGTTACATGTGTCACTAGTTGATGGGGCGATCGGTTAAAGCGTTCGCTCGTCAACCTGAAGACCCGGGTTCGAATCCAGACATGGGTACAATGTGTGAAGCCCATTTATGGTGTCCCCCGCCGTGATATTGCTGGAATATTGCTAAAAGCATCGTAAAACTATACTCACTCACTCACTCACTCACTCACTCACTCACTCACTCACTCACTCACTAGCGGGTGTACAGGACGTTATGAGCTGTACAAACCCATTCAGCCGTTTAGTTAGGCATTCAACTCATAAAAGGGAACTTGATAATGAACTGGGACCTGTTCCACAAAGTGATCGTACCTCTACGACCTTCGTAAGTCTATGTTAAAGTATGTGAGTTACGATTGTCTTTGTGCTACGATCGCTTTGTGGAACGGCCTGGATGGAATATTCAATTAACAGTGACCCTCGTACCAAGAAGCCTTTATAATGATTGGCTGATTGGAAAGTTCACCTTGTATGACCTCCTATGGAGTAATTGTCCAGTCTTCAGGAGGATACATATCAAATCGGAATATAAGCTTGATGTTAATCACATTGGTCCTCAGACAAATGAATGTGGAGCAGCCTTAGGTACCAGGGCCCCATTTCACAAAGCGATCTTAGCGCTAAGGTGATCGTAACTCCCATACTTTAACATTGACTTACGACAGTCGCAAACAAGACCCGGCTATCCCCAGCCATCCCCTGGTCCCATCAATTTATCATAGGCCAGTGTGCTGCCAGTGTCACCAGCGTTAGAAATTGGCACTAGGTCTATAGTCTTTGCCAAACTGTATCATAAGGACTTAAAATTTGCTCTTTTTAAGGGTTTTGCAGGGTTAGAAACAAACAGTTTTCGTCCACTAGTCCTTATAATGATAACATATAGCAAAACCCTTAAAATGGGCCAATTTCTACTAGTCCTTAGGATACCTTTACTATTGGGCAGTTTGGTAAGGACTACAGGACTAGTGCCAATTTCTAACGCTGTTTTGCTATATGTTATCATTATAAGGACAAGTGGATGAAAACTGTTAGTTTCTAACCCTGGTCACATAAATTAATGATGCATTGCTGTAAAATGTAAGAGGAACACAGGCATATTATCTTAAAGTACCCACAGTTGTATGGCGTCATGCCTAAGAAAGAATGACAATTTACATGCAACACAGGGATTAGTGATGTAGTATGGTCAATAAACTTTAGAGTTATTGTTGGTGTGGATAAATAAGGGTTAGCCAGACACAAATTTGAATTGTTTTTACTTGCACTTGGTAAATTTGGTTAATATTAGGTTGCATTTATCAATAATACGTAGCACTTGTGCATGTTGTATAAAGCTTATTCGAACCCTGTACAGTCATGAAAATTGTGTGTTACAGGCCAGCCTGTTGAAACAGCTCCAGGAGAGGGATAAACTGATCTCCGATATCAAGGTGGGTAGATACGGCATCCTGCCGGTTGATATATGTCGTAACTACCCACTCACTCATACTTTTATTCACTGGGTATTGTGATTGATTTGTACATCAAACCTACTGTCTACCAATACCAGTTGTTGTCTGTGTTGCTTGCAGAAAGACATTCAGAAGCGCGATAACAAGATCGACACTCTCCAGCATGACCTGCTGCTACAGATACAGGAGAAGGAATCCACCACTCGCTGTCTCAAGTCCCAGATCCAGGACCTGCACAACAAGCTGAAGGTGGTCGGGGAGACAGGGGTAAGACAGGGTGTTGTAGCTACAGGACAACAAGCTGAAGGTGGTCAGGGAGACAGGGCGTTGTAGATACAAGACAACAAGCTGAAGGTGGTCAGGGAGACAGGGTGATGTAGATACAGGACAACAAGCTGAAGGTGGTCGGGGAGACAGGGTGTTGTAGATACAGGACAACAAGCTGAAGGTGCTCGGGGAGACAGGGGCAAGACAGGGTGTTGTAGATACAGGACAACAAGCTGAAGGTGGTCAGGGAGACAGGGTGTTGTAGATACAGGACAACAAGCTGAAGGTGGTCAGGGAGACGGGGTGTTGTAGATACAGGACAACAAGCTGGAGGTGGTCGGGGAGACAGGGTGTTGTAGATACAGGACAACAAGCTGAAGGTGGTCAGGGAGACAGGGTGTTGTAGATACAGGACAACAAGCTGAAGGTGGTCAGGGAGACAGGGTGTTGTAGATACAGGACAACAAGCTGAAGGTGGTCGGGGAGACAGGGTGTTGTAGATACAGGACAACAAGCTGAAGGTGGTCGGGGAGACAGGGTGTTGTAGATACAGGACAACAAACTGAAGGTGGTCAGGGAGACAGGGTGTTGTAGATACAGGACAACAAGCTGAAGGTGGTCAGGGAGACAGGGTGTTGTAGATACAGGACAACAACCTGAAGGTGGTCGGGGAGACAGGGTGTTGTAGATACAGGACAACAAGCTGAAGGTGGTCGGGGAGACAGGGTGTTGTAGATACAGGACAACAAACTGAAGGTGGTCAGGGAGACAGGGTGTTGTAGATACAGGACAACAAACTGAAGGTGGTCAGGGAGACAGGGTGTTGTAGATACAGGACAACAAGCTGAAGGTGGTCAGGGAGACAGGGTGATGTAGATACAGGACAACAAGCTGAAGGTGGTCGGGGAGACAGGACAACAAGCTGGAGGTGGTCTGGGAGACAGGGTGTTGTAGATACAGGACAACGAGCTGAAGGTGGTCAGGGAGACAGGGTGTTGTAGATACAGGACAACAACCTGAAGGTGGTCAGGGAGACAGGGTGTTGTAGATACAGGACGCCAAGCTGAAGGTGGTCGGGGAGACAGGGGCAAGACAGGGTGATGTAGATACAGGACAACAAGCTGGAGGTGGTCGGGGAGACAGGGTGTTGTAGATACAGGACAACAAGCTGAAGGTGGTCGGGGAGACAGGACAACAAGCTGAAGGTGGTCGGGGAGACAGGGTGTTGTAGATACAGGGCAACAAACTGAAGGTGGTCGGGGAGACAGGGTGATGTAGATACAGGACAACAAGCTGAAGGTGGTCAGGGAGACAGGGTGATGTAGATACAGGACAACAAGCTGAAGGTGGACAGGGTGTTGTAGATACAGGACAACAAGCTGAAGGCGGTCGGGGAGACAGGGGCAAGACAGGGTGTTGTAGATACAGGACAACAAGCTGAAGGTGGTCGGGGAGACAGGGTGATGTAGATACAGGACAACAAGCTGAAGGTGGTCAGGGAGACAGGACAACAAGCTGAAGGTGGTCGGGGAGACAGGGTGTTGTAGATACAGGACAACAAGCTGAAGGTGGTCGGGGAGACAGGGTGTTGTAGATACAGGACAACAAGCTGAAGGTGGTCGGGGAGACAGGGTGTTGTAGATACAGGACAACAAGCTGAAGGTGGTCTGGGAGACAGGGTGATGTAGATACAGGACAACAAGCTGAAGGTGGTCAGGGAGACAGGGTGATGTAGATACAGGACAACAAGCTGAAGGTTGTCGGGGAGACAGGGTGATGTAGATACAGGACAACAAGCTGAAGGTGGTCGGGGAGACAGGGTGATGTAGATACAGGACAACAAGCTGAAGGTGGTCAGGGAGACAGGGTGATGTAGATACAGGACAACAAGCTGAAGGTGGACAGGGTGTTGTAGATACAGGACAACAAGCTGAAGGCGGTCGGGGAGACAGGGGCAAGACAGGGTGTTGTAGATACAGGACAACAAGCTGAAGGTGGTCGGGGAGACAGGGTGATGTAGATACAGGACAACAAGCTGAAGGTGGTCTGGGAGACAGGGTGATGTAGATACAGGACAACAAGCTGAAGGTGGTCAGGGAGACAGGGTGATGTAGATACAGGACAACAAGCTGAAGGTGGTCAGGGAGACAGGGTGATGTAGATACAGGACAACAAGCTGAAGGTGGTCAGGGAGACAGGGTGATGTAGATACAGGACAACAAGCTGAAGGTGGTCGGGGAGACAGGACAACAAGCTGAAGGTGGTCAGGGAGACAGGGTGATGTAGATACAGGACAACAAGCTGAAGGTGGACAGGGTGTTGTAGATACAGGACAACAAGCTGAAGGCGGTCGGGGAGACAGGGGCAAGACAGGGTGTTGTAGATACAGGACAACAAGCTGAAGGTGGTCGGGGAGACAGGGTGATGTAGATACAGGACAACAAGCTGAAGGTGGTCTGGGAGACAGGGTGATGTAGATACAGGACAACAAGCTGAAGGTGGTCAGGGAGACAGGGTGATGTAGATACAGGACAACAAGCTGAAGGTGGTCAGGGAGACAGGGTGATGTAGATACAGGACAACAAGCTGAAGGTGGTCGGGGAGACAGGGTGTTGTAGATACAGGACAACAAGCTGAAGGTGGTCAGGGAGACAGGGTGATGTAGATACAGGACAACAAGCTGAAGGTGGTCGGGGAGACAGGACAACAAACTGAAGGTGGTCGGGGAGACAGGGTGTTGTAGATACAGGACAACAAGCTGAAGGTGGTCAGGGAGACAGGGTGATGTAGATACAGGACAACAAGCTGGAGGTGGTCAGGGAGACAGGGTGTTGTAGATACAGGACAACAAGCTGGAGGTGGTCGGGGAGACAGGGTGTTGTAGATACAGGACAAAAAGCTGGAGGTGGTCAGGGAGACAGGACAACAAGCTGAAGGTGGTCGGGGAGACAGGGTGTTGTAGATACAGGACAACAAGCTGGAGGTGGTCAGGGAGACAGGGTGTTGTAGATACAGGACAACAAGCTGAAGGTGGTCGGGGAGACAGGGGGATGTAGATACAGGACAACAAGCTGGAGGTGGTCGGGGAGACAGGGGGATGTAGATACAGGACAACAAGCTGAAGGTGGTCGGGGAGACAGGGTGATGTAGATACAGGACAACAAGCTGAAGGTGGTCGGGGAGACAGGGTGTTGTTGATACAGGCTGAAGGTGGTCGGGGAGACAGGGTGTTGTAGATACAGGACAACAAGCTGAAGGTGGTCAGGGAGACAGGGTGATGTAGATACAGGACAACAAGCTGAAGGTGGTCAGGTAGACAGGGTGAAGTTGATACAGGCTGAAGGTGGTCGGGGAGACAGGGTGTTGTAGATACAGGACAACAAGCTGAAGGTGGTCAGGGAGACAGGGTGATGTAGATACAGGACAACAAGCTGAAGGTGGTCAGGTAGACAGGGTGAAGTTGATACAGGCTGAAGGTGGTCGGGGAGACAGGGTGTTGTAGATACAGGACAACAAGCTGAAGGTGGTCAGGGAGACAGGGTGATGTAGATACAGGACAACAAGCTGAAGGTGGTCGGGGAGACAGGGTGTTGTAGATACAGGACAACAAGCTGAAGGTGGTCAGGGAGACAGGGTGATGTAGATACAGGACAACAAGCTGAAGGTGGTCAGGGAGACAGGGTGATGTAGATACAGGACAACAAGCTGAAGGTGGTCGGGGAGACAGGGTGTTGTAGATACAGGACAACAAGCTGAAGGTGGTCGGGGAGACAGGGTGTTGTAGATACAGGACAACAAGCTGAAGGTGGTCGGGGAGACAGGGTGTTGTAGATACAGGACAACAAGCTGAAGGTGGTCAGGGAGACAGGACAACAAGCTGAAGGTGGTCGGGGAGATGGGTCAATGGTTAATGCATGCTGATTATGTGTCTTTTTGCTTTATTTCATGAGCTCAGGGTTGCATGCTTTATTGTATGAGATATTTAGTGTGGGATATAGTGATATTTGTTCTGGGCTATAGTGACCTATCTATTATGAGAAGGGTGCTGTTTCTGCCCGATGTATGTCTGTGCCATGTCAGATCAGGCCTGGGAACTATGTGAGTGAGGGAAGATGGGATTGTATTCTGTTATTATTTATTGTGTGTATTATGATTTTCAAAGGTGGTATATACATTATTTTCCTACATTGGCGCCAGTCGTCCTCTTGTGGTAATGACTTTTGTTTGGCTATGAAAGTGTCTAGTCCTTATGACCATGTCTGTAATTATGCTGTTAGAAGACAAAATAACATCATCACAACCAGAGAAACAGTGTATACAGAGCCTCAGATAAGCTGCGTATCTGCGTAAAATACACATCAGAAATGCAGAAATACGCAGTGAAATAAAATCCAAGCGTATCAATTACGCAATGAACATTATAGATACGCTACAAAAATAAAACTGATATGTATCATCAAAATATTGTGAAGTAACCCTGCGTATTCGATACGCAAATCAGCAACTTATTTTGAAATTATAAACGGGCATTCCGTCAACCTTGCCAAACTCCACGATGACAGTTACATCATGATCATTTGCCATCACACTTTCTTGTGGAAGTATCGTGGTATCGTCCTATAAAGCTCTCAAACCCACACGACAACAGTTTGCAGGGACTAGATGAATAGTGTTTTTAAATATTTGACTTAAATACCCACATGTGTAAAAACTAGTGAGTAACAGAAATTTGAATACCCAGATAGAATTACTGATACCCAATGATTTTAAAATGCATGGGTAAAATACCCACAACACCAAAGGCTTATCTGGAGCTCTGAGTATATGTTCAAACCAGTGTGTTATCGTGGATGTAGAAGGCCATCTAGGGCAACCAGCATTATTTCCTGTTATAGGGAGTTCCTCGGTCAGTGACAAACGTCTTGTCAGCACTTGTTTGAGGTTAAATTTCAAAAAGAAAATCTGTAATCAAAACATGATTAACAGGTGTTTAAAAATAAAGTTTTAATCCAAAGCAGCAGGGTTATTTTGCTTTCAACCATATACCCCAAAATAAATTGTCTTTAAAAAAAGACAACAGAAAATTGACAAACTCTCCCAAGCACAAAAATAGTAAATTTCACTGATGTCCTACAGAGTGATGTTTTGTGGATTGTTTGTTGTTTTTTATAATTCAACCTCTACTCAGTCCGTGATTCATGCATAGATGTCAATACGATGCAACTGTTTCCGTAGTAACTCCGACTAGGGTGTCCCATGTCATCATCGACCTCCCAACCAGGTCAATATGCTTCAGTTAAGTGACTGTACGCCATGACACAAACAGCTCATTATCACAAGAGGAAGATATTGAAAGCTATATCTGGAAATTAATGCGGACATGTTCTACTGACTCTAGAACTGGCCAATATATACCACCTTCTCTCCATCTTTGCTGAACTTCTAGAGAAGTGGTACCTGTTTCAGGTGTCATCATGTGTATGACGATGACGGGTTTGTGTATGACGTTAGCGAGGACGGCACTGTTAGACCCAGGCTTCAGCACTGTTTTGTCGTTTCAGGTTTAGGAGTGATTTTTTTCTTTCTGCAGAAAAGTTCTTTTTAGTGTAGTTTTCTAGAGGACATTTCCACTGCAGTGTGATAATGTGAAAAGTCAAGAAGTTAGAAGGGTTTTTCGATCAATTATACAGAGCTACAGATAAGCAGCGGATTTGCGTAAATTACCCCCAAACACCACCCCCCACCCCCCAAAAAATATTCAGAAACCCAATTACTTTCAATTAACTTGCATACAGAAATGCATGTGTTACATGAAAAACTCAAATGTATAAAAACAGCTCTCGTAAATACTCAATGAAGCTTTTTCAGCACGAGTACAAAGGAGCTAATTTCCGAAACAAAATTATGAGCTAATTTACTTTCCGAGTCAAGCCTATATATTTAGAACGGTTATATCCATCTAAATATATACATATTATTTCATTTTTTTAAATCTTAAAAAGTTCACTAATTTTGGGAAAAACCCAATAGAGTGATGAATGGGTGAGTGAAAAAATATTGCTTACCCAATAAAAATGTAATTACCCAATTAAAATAGACACCCTAGAGTAAAAACTCAATTGCTCAAAAAGTTATCTGGAGCTCTGATTATATTTTAAATTCTTTGATGTATTTTGTTGTTTCCTAGAGTAGCTATTCATTTAAAAGAGAAAAAAAAAATGTCATTCACGAATCATGTTTGGAATATAGGGGGGAAAAATAATGATAAGAATATAACATTCTTTTACCATTTATTTAAAAGAGAAGAAAGGGGTTCACAAGATAGTTCCTGGGAATGTTTAAATAACAGAAGCTAGAAGTTCAGCAAGGAAAAGGCTTAACGTAACCTTTTCATTCTTGTGTCTTGTCAGGCCACACTGTCCGCGCGAGTTGCCACTCAAGATAAGAGAATGGCCAAGTTAGAGGGTAAAATATTCCATCCACACCCAGAAAACGGAAGTCCCACCGCTCGCAGTGTAAGAGTAACTAACTATATCCATCCTAGATGTCACTAACCGATAACATCTGTCTTACTAAACTGTAGACATTTCACAGGGGAATAGTATCTGTCTGTTCAACCTCTTCCTGAAATATCATCACCGAAATTTCATCACTATACGGGATCTTGACTTAAAACGAAAGTTTTCATAAGTTTGGGATATTTTTCATGTGTTTGTGTGTTTAATGTGTTTATTTATCTGGTATTATTATTTTGTCACATTCTAGCCTTTGCTATGTCACTATTTAGAAATGCACAAACAATAGTTTTGACACAACAGGTTCCTGTGTCAGATCGAGGTTGCCACTGCGTGCCTCTCCGGGGGTGCAGATATTGTGTATAAGTATCACTGATTGACTGGACCCGTGAATATTCCGGGGTAGAATAGGTCTTCAGCAACCCATGCTTGCCGTAAAAGGTGACTATGCTTGTCGTAAAAGGCGACCAACGGGATCGGGTGGTCAGGCTCGCTGACTTAGTTGATGCATGTCATCGATCCCAATTGCGTGGATCGATTCTCATGATATCAATCACTGGATTGTCTGGTCCAGACTCGATTATTTACAGACCGCCGTCATATAGCTGGAATATTGCTGAGTGCGGCGTTAAACAACAAACCAAAACCAAAAAAACTGATTGACTGATTGACACTGATTATGCATTCATACAATGGAGGAAGTATAGTGAGGTTGTCAAAGGTAAACACATCTTTGATTCCTTATTCCGTTACTCTGTCAATGTCAAGTCTTTCACAATCTCATTAAAATCAGATCTTAGTTCTCGCTATCGTGAAACAAAGATCTGAGGACATCCCATTAAGGGTCATGTCAGAACGACCTTTCATCCAACCAATCAGAGCCTCGCTTACCAGATCATGAATGTGACAGTCCGAATGTATTTTCTAATCATGCAACCACGCAATATTTAACACGGGGTATTCCGAACGACAGTTACAGGTTTTATGATTATATCCATACAATCTAAGCCATCTATAAGCCATTCCAGAATGTTCTTATCAGTTTTAATTTTTTTAATCGATAATACGTCAAAATTTGTTTCGAAGCATAGTCGCCAGTTTGAAGCTAGTGTCGTAAAGCTCGAGAAAGCTGCCTTCTGATTGGCTAATGTCGATCCTGTCAGTCATTTCATTGGTCGGTCAAAATTCACGTTCTGACGTGACCCCTAATTGGATGTCCTCAGATCTTTGTTTAGCGGTAGGGAGAACTAAGATCTGATTTAAATGAGATTGAGCCTTTCACTGTTACCCAAGGGCAGAGAACTCTAAAGACATTGGGCACTCATCTCTGTAAATCGTAAAACCTTTGGGCAAGAAGTCTCTGCATGTAAGCATTTCTGATAGATAATCTTGTATTTTCTATTAAAAGGTTATGAAAGTAATTTACCGTAATATCTAAATATCAGTATGGGTCGGAAATAATTTATGTTCACCGATTGACAGAAATGATCTTCTATACACAGAGTTGCCATCTTGGAATGTTGATAAAAGTGGCATAAAACCACACTCACTCACTTACTGAAACAGATCAAGATTACTTAGTTTGTGTAGGTGAAGTCTACATTACCACTGATGATGGAAATAAGCACAAGTGTCAGGTCTTGTAATGTCATGTTGTTTATAGTACAGTGGGGCGGTCGGGTAGCCTAGTGGTTAAAGCGTTCGCTCGTCACGCAGAAGACCCGGGTTCGATTCCCGACATGGGTACAACGTGTGAAGCCCATTTCTGGTGTCCCCCGCCGTGATATTGCTGGAATGTTGCTAAAAGCGGCGTAAAACCATACTCATTGTTTATAGTACATGTATTGCGCTCTTGCTGTCCTGTCACTCAGTTCTTCCGTCTTTCTTGGCTCACTATTCCCAAGGTTCTCTCTCCAGAGAAGACGGCCTCCGTGGTCTAGTGGTAGAGCGTCCGCCTGGAGAGCGGAAGGTCCGGGGTTCGATCCCCGGCTGCGTCATACCAAAAGACGTTAAAAGATAGTACTTGTTGTTACCCTGTCTGGCGCTCGGCATTAAGGGGCTAAAACAAGGTCTGGTCAGCTCGGAGTCAGTATACTGTGTCTGAGTGGGGTATTTATGTTAAACTGCGGCATGGTATCTCAGTGTGCTAGCACTATAAATCGGCATCAGTCCGGACTAGTACAAGCAGCCACACACACACACACACGTACATGCACGTCGCTATATAAGTGCAAAAGTCTCGGACGCGACGTTAAACCCCATTTCACCTCGCCTCACCTCTCCTGAGAAACAAACTATGCTTCAGCTTTCTGGACACTGAGTGTATTCACAGGATTCTGTATGGAGATTTCTGGATGTCCAATAGTAGATGAGCAGCCCTATGTAGATTGGGATGCTTTTGAGATTTTGTCAGAATTTGACCACCACAGCTACCACTGCCAGAGCGAGGTGCTTGGCTCTTATTTAGAGAGGGGCGGTCGGGTAGCCTAGTGGTTTAAGTGTTTGATCGACATGCCGAAGACCCGGGTTCGATTCCCGACATGGGTACAATGTGTGAAGCCCATTTCTGGTGTCCCCCGCCGTGATATTGCTGGAATATTGCTAAAAGCGGCGTAAAACCATACTCATCCATCCTTATTTAAAGACAAAGGTCAGTCGTGTCAAAGGTCAAGGTCAAGGTCATTGTCATTGTCATTGTCATTGCTTGAATAAATTTTGTCTCAAGATTATTTACTGTAGGTTTATGAAACTTGGTACATCTTTACGGTGGGGCCAGATCGGAAAAGGTTGACAGGTATAAGGTCAAGGTCATTAAAAAATAGACGTTATGTTGTTTGAATATTTATGTATGACAAGGGAGGATGAAGGTTTGAAGATGCATTCCTCATTTAGCTGATGTCACACGTTTGATGTCGGACGGACCCGTTATCAGTGATCCTTTGAAGTGTCGTCAGGTGTAACTTGCATGCATGTCACTAGTACTAACACTGTAGCAGCTAATGTACCTGGAGATGACGTCTGTGGAATGTACGTTTCTCAGTGTACAGATAGAAAATGACCCGTGAAGATCCGGGGTAGAATAGTTCTTCAGCAACCCATGCTTGGTGACTATGCTTGTAAAAGGTACTATGCTTGTCGTAAGAGGCGACTAAAGGGATCGGGTGGTCAGGCTCGCTGACTTGGTTGATGCATGTCATCGTATCCCAATTGCGTGGATCGATGCACATGTTGTCAATCACTGGATTGTCTGGTCCAGGCTCCATTATTTACAGACCGCCGTCATATAGCTGGAATATTGCTGAGAGCGGCGTAAGACAACAAACCAACCAATCAATATATTGCATGGGTGGCCCAGTCGTCTAAGGCGCCGCATTCGCTGTGCAGAGTTGTGTCCCTTGGGCAAGCCACAAACCTATGATTGTGGGCTCGAATCACAGTTCAACCCGAATATGTTTCAGGGTTTGTAAGGTTTGTCAGCACTATACCCGTGCTCGTGGGTTTCACCGAAGTGGTAAACGTCTGAGACCTGCATCACTTCGGGCTTTCCTCCCACATTAAGCTGACATGCTGTGATATAACTGTAATACTGTTAAAAGCGGCGTTAGACCCATCTCACTCACTCACTCACTGTAACTGTTATGGACAGAATGTGAGGTGTGGTTATGTCCTTGACCTTTAAATCCTGTAGAGAATATGTTCCCTGAAGTTCGGGGTTAGAATTGGTCTCATGGTTGTCGCATGAGACGACTGACGTCAGGCTTACTGACTTGGTTGATGCATGTCATCATATCCCAATTGCATAGACTGATGCTCGTGATGTCAATCACTGGATTGTCTGGTCCAGACTTGAATATGTATGGACAGCTGTCAGATAGCTGGAATATTGCTGAGTGCTGCGTTAAATAACAAACAAACAAAAAACTTAAGAATCATCATCTGATTGTCTCTCGTCTTTCCGGAATATGCTGAGTGTAGTTTAAAGCAACTTTGACTCACTCACGCTCTGACCAGATTCAGTATCAGATCCTGCTTGACATCACAGTTTTAAATATGACAAAGTACAAATGTATTAACAAGTACTAACAAGTTAGATTTGTTATTAATAAACTAAGACAGTGTTGCATGATTGTTAGGTGTTAGTCCAAGCATAATGTTGTTTTTCTGTAATTGTTATAAAGAATTATAAAAGGATACAATTCAGTATAACATTGCTTATGTCTTGAGGTAAGATCGGTGCAGCGTGGTGGTTCTGATCACAAGGATTGGAAGATGTGTTCTCCTTGCAGAGTGGCCCGGACGAGCTGCAGGCTGTGAGGGAGTCGCTGCAGAACCTGAGGCTGCAGTACCAGCCCACCGACCCCCAGTACAAGTCCGTGGACAGTCTGGAGCACAGCATCGCCTCCCTCCTGGAACACCTGTACTCCTTCAGCAACTGTGCTACGCCTGTTAACAGGTCCAGTGTCAATGTGAGTGTGTTAGAGGCAGTCGGAACAACCCCGACCCCTGCCGACCCCAACCCCTCCCATGTCCGTCAACAGGTCCAGTGTCAATGTGAGTGTGTTAGAGGCAGTCGGAACAACCCCGACCCCTGCCGACCCCAACCCCTCCCACGTCCGTCAACAGGTCCAGTGTCAATGTGAGTGTGTTGGAGGTAGTCGGTACAACCCCCACCCTACTCTGACCCCCACCCCTTCCCATGTCCGTCAACAGGTCCAGTGTCAATGTGAGTGTGTTGGAGGTAGTCGGTACAACCCCCACCCTACTCTGACCCCCACCCCTTCCCACGTCCGTCAACAGGTCCAGTGTCAATGTGAGTGTGTTGGAGGTAGTCGGTACAACCCCGACCCCTACCGACCCCAACCCCTACCGACCCCAACCCCTCCCGACCCTGACCCCAACCCCTCCCATGTCTGTCAACAGGTCCAGTGTCAATGTGAGTGTGTTGGAGGTAGTCGGTACAACCCCCACCCTACTCTGACCCCCACCCCTTCCCACGTCCGTCAACAGGTCCAGTGTCAATGTGAGTGTGTTGGAGGCAGTCGGTACAACCCTGACCCCTGCCGACCCCAACCCCTACTCCGACCCAAACCCCTTCCTATGCCCGTCCACAGGTCCAGTGTCAATGTGAGTGTGTTAGAGGCAGTCGGTACAACCCCGACCCCTACCGACCCCAACCCCTCCCACGTCCGTCAACAGGTCCAGTGTCATTTTGAGTGTGTTGGAGGCAGTCGGCACAACCCACCCAACTCCCACCCCCACCCCTTCCCACGCCCGTCAACAGGTACAGTGTCAGTGTATATGCTGGATACAACCACCCCCACCCTACCCCTGCCCCTACCCCTACCACCCACACCCAACCCTTCCAACGCCCATCAGTTGGCCCGGAGTCAGTGTGAGTTTATGCTGGAGGCAGTCTAACTCGGAGGTTCAGTCATGCGTGTTGTGTTTTCCAGTCCGTGGAGTCTTCACCAAAGAGAATGAACTACGACAAGGCCAGTGACGTGAGGAGATCGTCAAACAGTTCCGCCACAGGTAACAAGTCCTCAGGTGCAGTACCGGTCCCTTTCTCAGTCATCTTAGCACATGGCAATACACGAGGGGACTCCAGGTTAGAATCGATCCCCAGCAACCTGTGCTTGTCATCTTAGCACATGGCAATACACGAGGGGACTCCAGGTTAGAATCGATCCCCAGCAACCTGTGCTTGTCATCTTAGCACATGGCAATACACGAGGTGACTCCAGGTTAGAATCGATCCCCAGAAACCTGTGCTTGTCATCTTAGCACATGGCAATACACGAGGGGACTCCAGGTTAGAATCGATCCCCAGAAACCTGTGCTTGTCATCTTAGCACATGGCAATACACGAGGGGACTCCAGGTTAGAATCGATCCCCAGCAACCTGTGCTTGTCATCTTAGCACATGGCAATACACGAGGGGACTCCAGGTTAGAATCGATCCCCAGCAACCTGTGCTTGTCATCTTAGCACATGGCAATACACGAGGGGACTCCAGGTTAGAATCGATCCCCAGCAACCTGTGCTTGTCATCTTAGCACATGGCAATACACGAGGGGACTCCAGGTTAGAATCGATCCCCAGCAACCTGTGCTTGTCATCTTAGCACATGGCAATACACGAGGGGACTCCAGCCTTTTTTTCAAACAAAACGGTGATAAAAATTGTGATAAAACGGGTCTTACATAGCGAAGTGCATCAAATCACGTGAGCACCTTGATGAAAAACATGAAAAGGTTTGGAAAATATCTGTTGACAACGAGTCGGCGGTGCACATGCTTTGCAAATACTGCAGTTGATCGAAATCTGCGCGACAGTTTACGAACCAGATTTCGATTTCATTGCGCGATTTTGATTGGACTGTGCATAAACTCGTTAGTCCAGTCAAAATGTAACTCCATAATACCAGCCTAGTTCGGCAAGGGTGGAAACTTGACTTTTATAGTCAGTTAACTCGCTTGCCTCGGGAAGATGCTTACTACATGGCACAACCCATGGTGACTCCAGGCTGGAATTGATCCCCTCATTGGGCTTGTCCTGTGAGGCGATTATTGAATCAGCGGTCAGACTCGGAGATACGGTTGATTGAGTGTCATCGTACTCTGATGGCATGTTCATTATGATATCAATCACTGGATTGTCTGATCCAGACTTGATTGTTTACATTCCACCCCCACATAAGTGAAATATTGCTGACTGCGGTGTTATATGTAAGGTTCGTCTCACTCTTACGCCTTACACATGAACACTATTAATGTGGCACTTATCTACTTCCTCGTCATGTAGCCCTGCAATAGATTAGGTCCCTGATTTCTTTTGAATAGGACCCGTGAAGATTCCGGGGTAGAATAGGTCTTCAGCAACCCTTACTTGCCATAAAAGGCCACTATGCTTGTCGTAAGAGGCAACTAACGGGATCGGGTGGTCAGGCTCGCCGACTTGGTTGATACATGTCATCGATCCCAGTTGCGTGGATTGATGCTCATGATGTCAATCACTGGATTGTCTGGTCCAGACTCAATTATTTTACAGACCACCGTCATATTGCTGGAATATTGCTGAGTGCGGCGTTAAACAACAAACAAACAATTGAATAGCTATTGATCCATAATGATTCATCTTGGAAATGTGTCATTGTTATATGGGGGGGCGGTGGGTAGTCTAGTGGTTTAAGCGTTCGCTAGTCACACCGAAAAATCGGGTTCGACCCCCCACTTTGGTACAATCTCAGGTGTGTGTGTTGCAGGGATCACAGTGAACCAGCTGGACGGCCTGCTCGGGGGACAGGTGTGTACTAAAGTGCTGTACTTCACGGACAAGATGGTCACGCCCTTCATGTGCACCATATACAAGAGGTGGGTGTGGTCCTACTGAAAACAGTTGGCTGTAGATGCAGTGTCGGGACAACTGTGGAATTAAATATTGGGCAACAAAAAAATAATATTCTTGGTTCTCAGGCACCGCCCGCATCACCATAAGTTTGCCGCATGTTTTGTTTTTATTTCTATTTTAGTTTTAATTTGTTTTTAAATCCTTAAATATTCCAAGTTCAGCGGTAGTCAAATACTGTATTCCAGTATTTTACTCATCAAGGAATACATTTATGTAGGGAGGCCCTTTCCCAGGTTGATTGTAAACAACTGTATATTTGGTTACATACTAGTTTGAACTATCAAAAAAAAAAAAAAAGACACCGCCCGCCCACACTTTATTTGCAAAAACCATTGCCTGAGAACCAATTCTTTTCTTTTTTTAGCCTAATATTTATTATATTTTATTCATTTTGAACAAAGTGTTGAAGGAATCTGTGAACATGAAATGTAAACAAATGTTTGGTTGGACGGTGTACACAGGGTCAGAACTTGACACCGGTACAAACTTCCAATTTTCCCCATTGTTTGAACATTACAGGGGAATTTGATCTTTACCTGGGCCAGTAAAGCTTTTGAGTTTTAGTTCTAACCCTGATGCGGGGCGGTCGGGTAGCCTAGTGGTTAAAGCGTCATGCCGAAAACCCGGGTTCGATTCCCGACATGGGTACAATGTGTGAAGCCAATTTCTGGTGTCCCCCGCCGTGATTAGCTGAAATATTGCTAAAAGCAGCGTAAAACCATACTCACTCACTCACTCTAACCCTGATGCATCAAGTAAAAAAAGAAGGAAACATCATAAACCAGGGTGCTGTCAGTTAGGAACTTTCACACTAGGGGATAACTCTAAAGGACTTCAAGGAGCTGTTTGATAATAAAGAGATAGGTGTTGTCAGTTGTGCTCATATTCAAATGCAACTTTCACACTAGGGGAGATAACTCTAAGGGACTTCAAGGAGCTGTTTGATAATAAAGAGATAGGTGTTGTCAGTTGTGCTCATATTCAAATGCAACTTTCAGACTAGGGAAGATAACTCTAAAGGACTTCAAGGAGCTGTTTGATAATAAAGAGATAGGTGTTGTCAGTTGTGCTCATATTCAAATGCAACTTTCAGACTAGGGGAGATAACTCTAAAGGACTTCAAGGAGCTGTTTGATAATAAAGAGATAGGTGTTGTCAGTTGTGCTCATATTCAAATGCAACTTTCAGACTAGGGGAGATAACTCTAAAGGACTTCAAGGAGCTGTTTGATAATAAAGAGATAGGTGTTGTCAGTTGTGCTCATATTCAAATGCAACTTTCAGACTAGGGGAGATAACTCTAAAGGACTTCAAGGAGCTGTTTGATAATAAAGAGATAGGTGTTGTCAGTTGTGCTCATATTCAAATGCAACTTTCAGACTAGGGGAGATAACTCTAAAGGACTTCAAGGAGCTGTTTGATAATAAAGAGATAGGTGTTGTCAGTTGTGCTCATATTCAAATGCAACTTTCAGACTAGGGGAGATAACTCTAAAGGACTTCAAGGAGCTGTTTGAGAAGCCGAACCAGTTCCGGTATCACTTCAAGGCGCTGGATCCAGAATATGGCACTGTCAAAGAAGAGGTAACTCATGTTATTACTCATAGTTGGAAAGTTGTGAAGTCATCTTTTAAGTCTATCATTGCAGCATTTGCTGGTTTTGAAATAATTAAAGACAAAAGTCTTAGTCCATGATTGATAAGATTCATTTAATAAGCAGGGGGGACCGGGTGGCCCAGTCCTCTAGGGTGCCGCGATTCGCTGTGCAGAGTTGCGTCCCTAGGGCACCCCAGAAACCTATGATTGTGGGTTCAAATCCCGGTTCGCCCTGATTATGTTTCTAGGTTTGTCAGCACCATACCCGTGCTCATGGGTTTCACCGAAGTGGTAAACGTCTAAGACCTGCATCACTTGGGGCTTTCCTCCCACATGAAGCTGACACGCTGTGATATAACTAGAATACTGTTAAAAGTGGCGTTAAACCCAACTCACTCACTCACTCACTCACTCACTCACTCACTCACTCACTCACTCACTCACTCACTCACTCACTCACTCACTCACTCACTCACTCACTCATTTAATAAGCGATTGATTTTTGTGCCTCTTTCACCGAAGACCCGGGTTCAATTCCCGACATGGGTACAATGTGTGAAGCCCATTTCTGGTGTCCCCCGCCGTGATATCGCTGGAATATTGCCAAAAGCGGCGTAAAACCATACTCACTCACTCACTCACTTAGTCCATGATTGATAAGATTCATTTAATAAGGGATTGATTTGCGTGTCTCCTTCAGATCTCCAATGATGATACTATCATCCCTGGCTGGGAGGGGAAGATTGTAGCCTGGATTGAAGAGGAGCAGAGTACAGCCTGCTGAACACAGTCTTCAGGAAAATAGTATTTATTTCATATTGGAGTTTCCTGGAGACTGATCGCAGGAAGTAACTCTGGCAAGTAGTGCTATGTGCTGTGTCGCCTCAGGAGATGAGTTGTCAAGGAGATAGTATTTACTCATTCGGTTGGATTTTCCTTGTGACTAATTTAAGGAATGGAATGGACAACGCTACAACTTAACACAGAAGTGATATTGGAAGACTGTCTCATATGTTGTTGAGATAATAGTATGTGTAAACAGATGGCTGAAGTCTGGACATTGCTGAGGATTTTAACGAAGGAACTGGGAGGACATTGTTTTATCTGTGTGACTTATTTACAAGTGATAAAACTGCTCATAGGAAACAATGTGATTGTTTTTAGAACAGGAAATAATGAGGCTGAAATGTTCGTCCTAATGAGAAGACACTGAACATTGAGAATATTCCAGTTAGAAGTTGTTAGGAAAGCAGTCTTGGCAGATTCAAACCAACAAATTACCCAACATTCCTTTGACACATTCTGACCGGATAGGTTGGATATTTCAGGGCTACAGCACACAACATTCCTACTCCTAAGATTGAACGCCTCCTTTTACCAAAGCAGAGACCATATACCGACATGGTCTCCGACCAATCTCAGATACCAAAACCTGTAGTTTCTGATGGCCGCTGTGTGTGTGAGCTACTTTGGTAATCCTCGCTTAATGATAGTGCAAGCTGAAAGTATGACTGCATGGTACAGTAGAACGACCTGCATCATTTTATTAAAACAAGTTTTCTGACAGGGTTAGCCGTAGGTTAAATTGTCATGAAGACGAGCTGACGCTGATTTCGAAGTAAACAGGCTAATGTTGATGTGTTTGTAGGAAGGTGCTTCAATAATGCTTTCTTTTCTTCCATGTGTTTCCGAGGTGTGGCCACTACAGGAATGTTTCTTTTAACGATATGACATTTTTTTAAATGATTATGATTGTATAAGATGACATGGAAAACTTTATGGAGTAGTTTTCAAAATGTTTTCTGCATGATGTTTCAAATGTTTGATGGTTGACAACGTATCTGAGTGGCGTACTTAGGTCGGGAACCAACTGGTGATACGGCTTCAGAAAATTGTTTGGGTTGAGGTCTCTGGTGGGGGTTGGTGATAGGTGTTAGACAGCACTGGGCGTGTTATGCCAGCTGTGTTGAAAGGCCAGTGTAACACATTGTGTCATGCCAGCTGTGTTGAAAGGCCGGGTGTAACACATTGTGTCATGCCAGCTGTGTAGAAAGGCCGGGTGTAACACATTGTGTCATGCCAGCTGTGTTGAAAGGCCGGGTGTAACACATTGTGTCATGCCAGCTGTGTTGAAAGCCTTTGTGTCAAATATTGTGAAGCCAGCTGTCATGAAAGGCCGGGTGTCACACAATGTGTCAAGCCAGCTGTCATGAAAGGCCGGGTGTAACACATTGTGTCAAATATTGTGTCAAACCAGCTGTCAGGAAAGACCGGGTGTAACACATTGTGTCAAATATTGTGTCAAGCCAACTGTCTTGAAAGGCTGGGTGTAACACATTGTGTCAAGCTGGCTGTCATGAAAGCCTTGGTGTCACACGATGTGTCAAACATTGTGTCAAGCTGTCATATAGCTGGAATATTGCTGAGTGCGGCGTTAAACAACAAACCAACCAACCAATAACAGTTGTATGTTACAGAACTGCTTCCATTGTGAACTGCTGATGCTGCGTAAAACAGTACAATAATCACTCACTCTCTCCAGTGAGAACTAGAGATGTTTACCAAACACCATCTCGGCAACCTTTCATACCAATTTCTAAAAACACCTTCAGGGGGCACGGGTGGCCCAGTCGTCTAAGGTGCCGCGATTCGCTGTGCAGAGTTGCATCCCCATGATTGTGGGTTCCAATCCCGGTTCGCCCCGATTATGTTTCTAGGTTTGTCAGCACCATACCTGTGCTCATGGGTTTCACCGAAGTGGTAAACATCTGAGACCTGCATCACTTGGGGTTTTCCTCCCACATTAAGCTGACACGCCATGATATAACTGGAATACTGTTAAAAGCGGCAGTAAAACCCAACTCACTCACTCAAGACACCTTCAACAAGTAATGATTTTCTGAACCTGTTTTACCAGTACTACCTTTCAAGACTATTCACAATCTCTATGACAATGTTTCATTACAAATATCCAGTGAGTTTGGACCACGTCTACTGAAGTTATCCTATGCTAACTTGTGGACATTTCTCAGATCCTCACCATCACTCGGGCCCGACTGTGTCATCATTGCCTGAGATCGAACCTCCCACTGCCTCAAATGCCAAATATCCATTGTTTTAAGAATGCCCACGTTGCTGTTGTCACCATCACCCCAGCTGCGCTGGTTTCCCTGTATCCTGTACGCAGCCATCAGTTGTCATGGGAACCAAGGGGCACCTGCTACACCCAGTGACAGCCCTATTTACAATATATACGTGGGTCTCATAACCTGGCGGACCAATTTTGTCCAGATATGAACTAATCCTGTTTGACACTGTTTCAAGTGATTTCTTAAAGGCTTTGAGGCCGGTTTATTTATGTTTCACAGAAACTGAACTTTAATTTTATGAGATTGAAAAAAAAAATGATGTTTGATTTTTGTTTGTATAATTGTTAAACCTTTATTTTGAATTGACAAAGAAGATCTTTAAAACAAGATATGAAATTGTTCTGGCCTTTTATGATATCCTTACCTGACACGTAGGCCATTTTTCATATTTACAGGTGTTTTCAGGTATTATCAGTTTTCTGCCAAATGTGAGCAAGTAGAAACATTACATGGTGGACGGAGCACGGGTGGCCCAGTCGTCTAAGGCGCCGTGATTCGCTGTGCAGAGTTGCGTCCCTTGGGAACGCCAGAAACCCATGATTGTGGGTTCGAATCCCGGTTCGCTCTGATTCTGTTTCTAGGTTTGTCAGCACCATACCCGTGCTCGTGGGTTTCACCGAAGTGGTAAACATCTGAGACCTGCATCACTTGGGGCTTTCCTCCCACATCAAGCTGACTCGCCGCGACATAACTGTAATACTGTTAAAAGCGGCATAAACCCAACTCACTCACTCACATGGTGGAAACATTAAGCCACACAAAGATGAATATGTCATTATGTCCTGTTATGATTTTCATTATTTTCAGTTCATGTTAAGTATAAACCATAAGATTGTGACGTTCTAGGATGTGAAAGTGATGGTGTTCCCCTGTCCCCTAGTCCAGGGTTCTGTTCCACCATGCGATCTTAATGCTGCGACTACCGTAGGCCTAGGTTCAAATATGGGAGTTACGATCACCTTAGCGCTAAGATGGGTCTGTAGAACGGGACCTGGGCTCTGAGTGGTCGAGTGTTTGTGTCATGTCAGTGCTGAGACCCAGCACTAGGTTCAAATATTGGAGTTACGATCACCTTAGCGCTAAGATGGGTCTGTAGAACGGGACCCGGGCTCTGAGTGGTCGAGTGTTTGTGTCATGTCAGTGCTGAGACCCAGCGCTAGGTTCAAATATTGGAGTTACGTTCACCTTAGCGCTAAGATGGGTCTGTAGAACGGTACCCGGGGTCTGAGTGGTCGAGTGTTTGTGTCATGTCAGTGCTGAGACCCAACACTAGGTTCAAATATTGGAGTTACGTTCACCTTAGCGCTAAGATGGGTCTGTAGAACGGTACCCGGGCTCTGAGTGGTCGAGTGTTTGTGTCATGTCAGTGCTGAAACCCAGCACTAGGTTCAAATATGGGAGTTACGTTCACCTTAGCGCTAAGATGAGTCTGTAGAACGGGACCTGGGCTCTGAGTGGTCGAGTGTTTGTGTCATGTCAGTGCTGAGACCCAACACTATATGTGCAATAATTGAAGAAGTTGACTGATATTTTGTTTAATTTGAAGGCTTATTGAAATCAAACTGACTTTTGTCAAAATATTCATCTTTTTAGGGGGTATTGTCGTCTGTTTGCTCCATGATAAGTGTGGAGGATACAGCTCATTTGAATTCAAATATTTGAGAAGGGAGATAACCCTTGTGAACATTTCATTTTGTATTTTCGTCAGTTTCCTCCGTGATCAAAATGGAAGACACTGTTCATGTTAATTCATGAAAGGGAGATAACCCTTGCAATCATTCTCATTCCAGGTTTCTTGTCTTGCATCTGTGCTGATCATTCCTTTATTCTATTTCTATAACAAATGCTGAATATTTTTTCTCTGATGATACAAGAGAAACATTCTACCACAACTCATGTGCTGAGAAGTGGATGTGGATCTGGACTGTGCAACAGTTAACTTTGTGCAACTGTTAAAATTGTGCAACTGTTAACTTTGTGCAACTGTTAAAATTGTGCAACTGTTAACTTTGTGCAACTGTTAAAATTGTGCAATTGTTAACATTAGCAACTGTTAACATTGTGCAACTGTTAACTTTTGTGCATCTGTTAACTTTTGTGCAACTGTTAACTTTGTGCAACTGTTAACTTTTGTGCAACTGTTAACTTTGTGCAACTCAACTTTGTGCAACTGTTAACATTATGCAACTGTTAACTTTTGTGAAACTGTTAACTTTTGCAACTGTTAACATTATGCAACTGTTAACTTTGTGCAACTGTTAACTTTTGTGCAACTCAACTTTGTGCCACTGTTAACTTTGTGCAACTGTTAACTTTGTGCAACTGTTAACTTTTGTGCAACTGTTAACTTTGTGCAACTGTTAACATTATGCAACTGTTAACTTTTGTGCAACTGTTAACTTTTGTGCAGCTGTTAACATTGTGCAACTCCTAACTTTGTGCAACTGATAGCTTCTTATCTAAGCCACAATCATCACAAAGTATCCATTTCACAAAGATATCCCAGAGCAACAACTGCCTGAACTCTATCCCGTACAGTCAATTCATCACACTCTGGGCTCTTACGTCTATTTATTCAACACTCACATGACAACTAATTAATCCTCACAAGGGAAGAAACATTATCTTTATGGTGTGTCCGATTTGTCCCTGTGCTAGGGTTGCATTGTTGAATGGAGCTAAGTACGATTAATGTGTATTTAAAAAAAAACTATTTCTCAATATTCCTTCACTCGTACCGGTATCTGACACCATTATACCATGTGTTTGTGCCTTCATAGTCCTTGACATGCTCTCAACCTCTCACTGCAGTGGTGTGTCTGTGCCGAGACTCGAACCCACACACACCTCTGGCTTTGAAAGGGTTGAGTTACACTAAGTGTTGTCTCAGTGGTAGAGTATCAGTATTAGGATGTCGATCGTGCAAGTCTGTGAGGAGTTACCTCCCTTGGGCTGCTGGCAATTTTGAATATATGCTCAGTGATTGTAATAGTCTATAGCAGTAATTGGTAGCTTTTTCACTTGACATTTGTACTTTGGTTTTGAAATGCGGTGTTGCGTGTCTTTCAAATGCAGCGATGTCGATAGTGATGCTTTTGCCACAGTTTTGTCGCCTAGCTTCGGCAGAAGTCAACCCAACCCCCAAGTCAACCCAACCACCTTCTTCCTGTCCACCCTCACTTTTAGAACTAAGCTTGAAGCAACTGCTCCACAAACTGATTAAACCAAAGTCAACGGGGCGACAATCGGAAATTTGATCTAATTTTGACTTGTTTTTAGGACTGTGTTACCTATAACTGAGGAGTTATCATTTAAATCATCTGAATATCCACTAACCCCACATTCATCATTGTAAAGAGGTATTCCTGGGTTTATGCTAATAATGTACAAAAATAGCATCCACTAGTCGTTGAGCAACGTGTACGTGTCTGAGTCCCCCCCAGGGGCGGTCGGGTAGCCTAGTGGTTAAAGCGTTCGCTCGCCACACCGACGACCCGGGTTCGAATCCCGACATGGGTACAATGTGTGAAGCCCATTTCTAGATCCCCCGCCGTGATATTGCTGGAATATTGCTAAAAGCGGCGTTAAACCAAACTCACTCACTCACTGAGTCCTCCCCACATCCTCACGGCTGGTTCAAGCTCAGTACTCCCTGAGGAATTCATGCTTGTCGGGCTGATATCTGAGGATTAAACATCTGAAGTTTTGTGTGTTCAGTAACTTTCCTTTTACTACAGAGGGAACAAGATTAGATGACTTGTTTTTTCAAATTGGTAAAACAAATACTACCATTTTACAGTTATGACACTGTTAACATCTCAGCAGGGCTATCGGCTAAAAATAGATTCAGCTGTGGTGGTTGAGAGATGAAGATCAGACTTTCGAAGTGCATCGACAGTGACCGGCTATTGGGTATAGCATCATTGCAGCACGACAATCACCACATTTTCGTTCAGGCAAGATGGTAGCCTTGCTGAGAGCATGGGGAGACTCATTTTTTTAAGTCAGTTAACTCTCTTGCCTCGGGAAGCGGGGGGAGACTGACTGCACATCACATGAAGCAGAGAGCAAGAGATGAGGGTGGGTGGATGTGGCATCATGTCATTTCAGGATCTTAAAAAAAAAAATGAAAAAAAAAATGTTCAAACTATTTCCTCTCCCCACCCCCCCCACCCCAAAAAAAAGAACATAGCATGTCTGATCTTGATCCTACAGTCACGGGTGGCCCAGTCGTCTAAGGCGCAGCGATTCTCTCTGCACAGTAGCTTCCCTTGGGCACGCCAGAAACCTATGATTGTGGGTTCAGATCCCGGTTCGCCCAGATTATGTTTCTAGGTTTATCAGCACCGTACCCGTGCTCGTGGGTTTCACCAAAGTGATAAACGTCTGAGACCTGCATCACTTCGGGCTTTCCTCCCATTTTAAGCTGATATAACTGGAATACTGTTAAAAGCGGTGTTAAACCCAACTCACTAACTACTACAAACATGTACCAGATTTGTCCTAGGAATGGAATAACACTTATATACAATCTTCATGATATATATACAATGAGCAATGAGCCAGCTGTTTTCTATTAGTGTAACAACCTGTTTTTCTAGTTATGGAATACCGCTTATATACAATCTTCATCATATCTATATATATATATGAAATGAGCCAGCTATTTTGAATCTGTATTAATTCCTGTGTCGCACCGATTCTCTCCCAGTAGTCTTAGACCATTCCAAGAAGGTACTTGTTAAACGGGTATCTCAGCAGATCTCAGTCCTCTATATGTTCATCTTAGAGATTGACAACGTCACATAGGAAATTTACTGCAATATTTCTACGATTCCATATTTTTGCTGTCAGACAAATTTCTAAATGAATCTAGTCGAATTTCCCCAATATTTCAGCAGTTAAGGTCGTCCATTAGTATTACAGACACTGAGACAAGGATTTAAAGAATCTTTTCGCATCACACATTCCGCCATGAGGATTTGTTACCTTATCATTTTGTTATAGAGTCGTATCATGTACATGACTATTTTGTCACATTGCGAGGTCATAGGTTTGACTTCTGTTTATTGTGTCTCCGTCCCGAGCTGGTCTATATCGGCCATGTGTATCATTTCGTACATGCTTCATTTAATTTACATCAAGTTGCAGACTCAGCATATTTTGTTGTACGTCTTAGTCACTAGGATTTTGTTCGTTGCCATGGTTACCACCCACGGTCAAGATGTGTGTATACAGATGAGTAGATTTTTTTATCTTTTACTTTTTTTCTAGTTTTATAGACTTCATAATTTATTTGTAGATTCTTTCCGAGATGAGAGTTCTGACGATGTTTTAGTAGAAACTGTTGGCAGAAAGTGTCCTCTTCAAACGTATACATCTAGTCAAGGTGATATATTTACGATAACTTTCTGTGAATCTGTGGAGATCTGAAAATTTGGAGACGTCCTTGATAAGAGTGGCTTATTGTGTGGAATAATGGCATATTGTGGTGAAGAATTGAAGCGTAAATAGAGAAAAGAGGCTGATCACAGGTAGAGATTAAGGCTTATAGTGGGGAACATGAAGCTTTTGGTAGAGAATAAAGGCTTACAGTGGGGAATAGGGCTTATCGTGGGGAATATGAGGCATAGGTAGAGAATAAAGGCTTATAGCGGGGAATAGGGCTTATCGTGGGGAATATGAAGCATAGGTAGAGAATAAAGGCTTATAGTGGGGAATAGGGCTTATCGGTGGGGAATATGAGGCATAGGTAGAGAATAAAGGCTTATAGTGGGGAATACGAGGTATCAGTGGGGAATATGAAGCTTTTGGTAGAGAATAAAGGCTTGTGGGGAATATGAGGTATCGGTGGGAAATATGAAGCTTATGGTAGAGAATAAAGCTTATAGTGGGGAATATGAGGTATCGGTGGGGAATATGAGGTATCGGTGGGGAATATGAAGCTTATGGTAGAGAATAAAGGCTTATGGTTGGGAATATGAGGTATCGGTGGGGAATATGAGGTATCGGTGGGGAATACGAGGTATCGGTGGGGAATATGAAGCTTTTGGTAGAGAATAAAGGCTTATGGTGGGGAATATGAGGTATCGGTGGGGAATATGAGGTATCGGTGGGGAATACGAGGTATCGGTGGGGAATATGAAGCTTTTGGTAGAGAATAAAGGCTTATGGTGGGGAATATGAGGTATCGGTGGGGAATATGAAGCTTATGGTAGAGAATAAAGGCTTATGGTGGGGAATATGAAGCTTATGGTAGAAAATAAAGGCTTATGGTGGGGAATATGAAGCATAGGTAGAGAATAAAGGCTTATGGTGGGGAATATGAAGCATAGGTAGAGAATAAAGGCTTATGGTGGGGAATATAGAGCTCAAGTAATGGCTAAAACTGCCTCCAAGTAAGAGATACAAGGAGTATATCTAAGTGTAAAGTGTTGTGTATTGTCATGAGAACATTCAGCATTATGTTTGTACCGCTCTCCCCGGTGTTGCTGGCAGTGTTCCCAATGTCTGCTCAATCACTGGGCCCTACCTGCTTCCTGTACTTATTTGGAAGAAAAATATGACAAATTGATTTGATTTGTATTGTTGCAAAGATCATGTTTTTCTCAAAGTTCTTGTTAATTGAATTCAAATTTCATGTTTTTTCTGAAATGTTATTGGAGTCTTGTTTTTTGAAAGAACATTTCATGTTTTTTAAACGCAATTATTGGACAATCAATTTCATGCAAAAATTGTTTCAATTTTCATTCAGATATTGTCATATTTTTTTCAGTTTTCATACAAATATATGTTCATTCTGCAAGGTTGACTCAAGAATATTTTGCCCTTAACGCCCATGTTTTGATGCTAGCGGTCACTGCCGAGATCAGCCCACCCGTTTCAAGTGTCCGAGTCACTGCCTGTGTGTCCACCACTGTGTATGACCCTCTCAATGTGCGCTGTAATGCAATTAGCTGTTCACTCGTGTACAAACTGCCTATTTATGTCCATATATCCCATGTCTGTGTGTCTACAGTCTTCACTACGCATGAAGCATTATGTGATTATCTGCCGCTTCAGTCGGCCGTGGCAAAATGTCAAAATAAATACAAATTGCAAAGTATGCCATGTGTTTTGGTCTTTTTTGCGGTCGAGGCTGCTTGTGTGAATGGACGACTCTTGTCGGGGTCTCTTGGTTGAGGGGGGGGCGGTCGGGTAGCCTAGTGGTTAATGCGTTCGCCCGTCACGCCGAAGACCCGGGTTTGATTCCCGACATGGGTACAATGTGTACATTTCTGGTGTCCCCCTCTGTGATATTGCTGGAATATTGATAAATGTGGCGTAAAACCTCACACACTCTGTTGGTTGAGGTGAAATTGGGTTTAACATCACTTTCAAGATACTTTCATATACTAGCAGAAGAGTGTAACCGTGCTTCATATGAAATGGTGTAAGTGTTGTGCTATTGAAAATAACAACATAATATTTGGTCATTCGTCTGATCAATGTTTTATCATAAATTCATTGACAAAACGAGCAACAATATCAGTATCAGTTTTGTGAGGCAGTGGCGGCAGTGCATTGAAGACGATGATTAAGTGAATGAGTGAGTATGGCTTTACGCTGCTTTTAGCAATATTCCAGCAATATCACGGCAGGGGACACCAGAAATCAGCTTCGCACATTGTACCCATGTCGGGAATCGAACCCGGGTCTTTGGCGTGACGAGCGAACGCTTTAACCACTAGGCTACCCGACCACCCCTCTTGTTAGAGATTGAAATCAGCCTGGAGGATGTTCTTCACCCATGGAGCTAGCTTTACCAACTGGTTCTGGTCCTGTCGTAGGAGTTGTTCCATCTAATCCCAGACATGTTCTATAGGAGAGGGCATGTCATACAACAATGTAATGCTGCCTCATAGTGTGGAATGTGTGGGGGGCATTTTCCCGCATCAACGCACTGCATTTACACAGAGGGTAACATGATCTTGAATGTTGTCCCGGTTGTGTACACCATTCAAATTGCTAATAATAATCATATCCCTATAACAATTCACTTCCAGCCCCAAACTGACAATGTTGAGTAATGCAAGTGTCACCAAAATGTTCTGGATGCCTGTAGACCTTTGCACAACATCAGAACTGTCCAGATGAAACCTGTCCCTGTCAGGTTATCTGATGAGACTGGGCATATCGCTGGATGTTGGGGCCAGATGTTGTGCTCCCTCAATCGGTTTCATATGGTTTTGCCTTTAATTGCTGACTGCCTCCGTGGTCTAGTGATAGAGCATCCGCCCGGACAGCGGAAGGTCCAGGGTTTGATCCCCGGCCGCGTCATACCAAAAGATGTTAAAAGATGGTACTTGTTGTTACCCTGTCTAGCGCTCGGCATTAAGGGGCTAAAACAAGGACTGGTCGGCTCGGAGTCAGTATACTGTGTCTGAATGGGGTATTCATGTTAAACTGCGGCATGGTATCTCAGTGAGCTAGCACTATAAATCGGCATCAGTCCGGACTAGTACAAGCAGCCACACACACACACACACACACACGTCGCTATGTAAGTGCAATATTCTTGGATCCGACGTTAAACCCAATTTCACCTCACCTCACCTTTAATTGCTACCCAGGAATTGTCCAAGCTGTTAATGTGGCAGTTTGGTATCGATTTCGTAGAAGCACCAATCGAATATGGTTGTCTTGTTGACCTGATGTCGCTTGTGGATTACAAGTCAGGGCCGAGTCATGAGTCCCTGCTGGATAGTGTTTTTCGATGACCATGATGATATCTGACAACTGTTTTGTCCCATTCCTGTTTGCAGCATACCCACAGCACCAACAAACTGTCCACAGTGTAAATTTTGAATCACGACCTTAATTAGAGTTGAGATGTGTTCATGAATGTTTTGAAAGATGCATTTTTTACTTTCTGAATATTATTTTATTGAACTTTATATGAAGCAGTTACTTTTTTCAGTAAGTGTAATGCCAGTTTTGTGGTGCTATCCCACTGTGTTACCATGCCGCAGGTTGCAAAAGGCTTCAAAATTAGTGAGAACAAGATGGTCAAAAAAGTATTTTCTAAGCCTGTTTTTCAAATCCTTGATCTGTGGAAATATTGCAATGTGCATTTTTGTCCATTTGTCATAAGAAATTTTGACCGCCTCCGTGGTCTAGTGGTAGAGTGTCCGCCCGGAGAGCGGAAGGTCCGGGGTTCAATCCCCGGCCGCGTCATACCAAAAGACGTTAAAAGATGGTACTTGTTGTTACCCTGTCTGGGGCTCAGCATTAAGGGGCTAAAAGAAGGACTGGTCGGCTCGGAGTCAGTATACTGTGTCTGAGTGGGGGATTCATGTTAAACTGTGGCATGGTATCTCAGTGGGCTAGCACTATAAATCGGCATCAGTCCGGACTAGTACAAGCAGCCACACACAGCCTCACACACACACACACACACACACACACGTGCATGCACGTCGCTATATAAGTGCAGTAATCTTGGACACAGCGTTAAACCCAATTTCACCTCACCTCATAAGAAATTAGTCTTGTCTCATACCGGGAGTCCACAGCCTGAAACATTTCACTACCATTTTACCATATGTTCAGGAATCAGCCTTTCAAATGGTGCTGTCAAACCCAGAACAATAATCTGGGACATCCGGGATTTGAACCCATGATCTGGATTGCGGTATATTCAGGAGCACAGCTCTACACAGCGAACTCTGACGACTGGGTCAAAAAACTGTTCAGAGGTGTAGACGTCAAACGCCACATCCTGGGCATATTACGAGTTGCATGTCCACAACTCATTACCTACGCCTCCTTGATACAGATGGAATATAGCGGATTGCTGCATTCAAACTCACTCCAAAGAGGAGATGACAAAGATGTATGTTTGTGAAGTATTTATTGGCCATAAACTTATGTACAAAACTTTGACTATAAAAGATGAACTGAGGATGAAGCTTGTACAAATGATGGCGATGGGCAATACAAAATACTGGAGGAGGAGCATCACATCCGACAAGCACCTGTTGGAGCCTGACAAGGTTCCAGGACAAGCACCTGTTGGAGTCTGACAAGGTTCCAGGACAAGCACCTGCTGGAGTCCGACAAGGTTCCAGGACAAGCACCTGCTGGAGCCCGACAAGGTTCCAGGACAAGCACCTGCTGGAGTCTGACAAGGTTCCAGGACAAGCACCTGCTGGAGTCTGACAAGGTTCCAGGACAAGCACCTGCTGGAGTCTGACAAGGTTCCAGGACAAGCACCTGCTGGAGCCCGACAAGGTTCCAGGACAAGCACCTGCTGGAGCCCGACAAGGTTCCAGGACAAGCACCTGCTGGAGTCTGACAAGGTTCCAGGACAAGCACCTGCTGGAGCCTGACAAGGTTCCAGGACAAGCACCTGCTGGAGCCTGACAAGGTTCCAGGACAAGCACCTGCTGGAGCCTGACAAGGTTCCAGGACAAGCACCTGCTGGGGCCAGACAAGCCTTGGGAAGGACATTCAAAGATGGCGGGTTTTGTTCTTTTAAAACTTTTTTTTTTTGCAGATCCAAATTTACTGGATCCAATGTTTCAGAGTTCTAAATTGAAAACATTGGCAATGATAATATTGTTTTGGGAATTCTTCCCATTTACCATTTTGAATTTCTCATTCCCTAGATTCCTGAGGGTGTTTGAGATGATGCACTCGGCCTCGCTCCAGCAGGGCTTGTCATGAAATACAGCTGAACTGAAGGAGAAATAACAGCAACCAAACAACGAGGGTCTCCAAAATCTTGTAAATTAAGTTACATCTTGTAAACAGAGATTCTTCCAACAAATTTTATGAAGTTCATCTCAAAATGTGAAAATACTGAAACAAGTTTCTAGGTCTAGACTACCTATACATCGTTCTAAAGTTTTCGACACAGATCTTTCATTTTCATATTTCCCTTCGTATTTCAACCCTTCCTGCAAGGCAAATTATTCTGTAAGCATATGGGCTTATTTACAGATAATCAACATTCAGGGCAACAGTAGTGTTGAAGCTGTAAAGGCAAAATAAATTATCAGTGTAGAAAATAGTTGCAAAATTGTACAAAATATAAATAAAAGTTGATATGACTATGCTCCTGATACCGTATTCAACCTAATAAGTGCCTGACCCTTGTCCCATTCAGCAGCATCACTTTATGCCAACAGGTCCAGTCAATCTTTACATGGAACATACAGTGATGAGTGAGTGAGTGAGTTTTGGTCTTAAGCCGCTTTTAGCAATATTACAGCAATATCACGGCGGGGGACACCAGAAATGGGCTTCACGCATTGTACCCATGTCGGGATTCGAACCCGGGTCTTCGGCGTGACGAGCGAAAGCTTTAACCACTAGGCTACCCCACCGCCCCCATACAGTGATGAAGGCAAGATTCCTGCTGAAGGTATTTGCCAAATAATCAGTACACATTTGTGTGAACTTCTGATTGAGAAACACGAAGCATTACTAGTTGTAAAACTACCATTTTGAAAGTTAGGCCTTTTTTTATTTTTGGGTTTACAAATTTTCCCCCAAATAATTCATTTCGGAAGGGGGGAAGGAAAAAAAAGAATTCTGACATAAGGGACGTGGACAAGGCTGGAGTTAATACTCATAACTATCAACACTGCATTGTAACATAAATTATTCCTTCTGCAGCGTACCAAGTTTTGGTGACAAAGACATCTCATTACTGCAATGCAAAATTCGAGGAATACATTTTCATAATTCCTATATAAAATTCATTTAGCCCAGCAGTGATAAATTAATTATTTTTGAATGAAAAAATCCCCCCCCCCCCCCCCAATTTTGTCAATATTTAGGTCAGAGGATCCGCAAAAGAAATAAAAAACAGGTGTAAATAAACACCCTGCCTACAACTGAACATGCATCCCTGCCAGTACAAGAAGCCAACCGTTTCCTCGTCACCTGGGACAGGCACTCATTGGTCGAACACGGTACTAATGTCTGAACAACTACTCTACTAAGTATATAAACAGTCTTGCTACTACACTGTACAACAGCATATTCGCATATTCATGGCATTTACAAACTCAGCCAATCAGAAGCTGTACGATTCAATGTTTCAATCATTACAAAATAATGTAAATAAAACAGCACTATTTCAAGTGTGCATACTGCTGATTTCCGATTGGTTGAAACATCCCTGTTGAGTTCTGATTGGTTGAAACATCCGAGACAATCAGCCAATACAATCATACACAGGTGGTCGAATTATTTGATTGCTGTACAGACAATTGATTTCCTCCCATATACTGAATAGAAAAATCAGAAAAGAAAAAAGTTTTGATTTTTTTAAAGAAGACAAGTTCACCTTTTTAACGTGAAATAACAAAATATCTTCAAATAATTTGACAGAAAACACCTATCAAACATTGAATTTAATTGGATCAGGTTTTGAGAGATGTTTGTAACTTAATTAACTATTTTTTAAGCATACATGTTACCGTGAATACCCTTTTATCATTAAGTAGATTAAGAAATTTACATGGAAATAACCAGAGAACTACTTGTGAAGCAGATAGTGTTATTGACAGACATATATACCCTACCATCACAGGACATCGATAGATAACTTGCTAGTGTTAATCAAATTTAATTTAATCTTATTCCGTAGTTGACAGCAACTTTGGCAACAATAATCATAATACATGGCAGTAACCATGGCAACTTGTCATCTGCCTCTTTGATTTACGTCTGATCAGTTATGCACGTCTATAAAACATGTGCGAGGATTCTTTTTTCTTCAAAGACAATCACCCGTTATCATCACATGATTGAAATGAGACTAAAATATTGATTTCTAAAAATGAATTTGTGCAACATTCATACAGCAAACACAAGCCTTCCTGACTCTTTGGTTGAACGTTCAAACATTGGTCCGTGAAAGATGGCCGACGACGTGCGACAGACATTGATGTATCCTGAGACATGTCAAGGCAGAATGTGACGATGTAATCAAAGGGCGATAACTCTGTCTCTACTGTAGATGCACTGAGTGGAACGTGAATGCTGTTTAGCCAAATTACAACAGAAAATAGACTTCACAAATTGCATCCATGCGAGCCATCCAAACTTACAACAAAACTTCACAGGTCAAAGGAACAATGAAGGGTGTTGTGCTAGGATCCTAGGTTGATGTATTTTATAGTTATTTACAATGCAGTGGACTAAATTATGCATCAATAAAGTTTGGTCAATTGGGATTGAAAAAAAACTGCATATTTGCTCACACAAAAATTGACATTATTTGTTTTAAGTATTTGAGAAGTCTCCATGGCAACAGGAGTCTACGGCACATGTGGTGCTACTCGCTATCACTTCAGACAAACTCACAACATTTGTACACCCTGCAGCTTGGAGTCTTGAGAAAACATTGGAGACTTGGGAAGTATACAATTGAACAATACCTATCCTTCAAAAATAAAACACGCTAACACTTAAACTTAAAGCAACTTTGTTTAAGCACTGACACTTTTTACTTACATGTTATTGATAAATTCAACCGTAAAACATAAATTGATTTGTAGATGTGTGGACTTATGCAACATGTCAAGGTTTATCAAATTTAAACTTCTACCTTGGTGAGATTTCATTTCAACTTTTCTTGAATGCTACATTTTATGAAACAAAAGGCATAATATTTTATTTTAGGATGAGATTCCAGGTTTGTATATGGGAAACACTCAGATTATTCTACTATAATAAATGTCTGTGGAGACTCGTACCAAAAGGAAACTACCTCAGTAAGAAACAATGGCAGCAACACCAGCTGAATGCGTGGTATGACGTGAACAATGCCATGCAATACGACACGTATCACCATAACTGCAAATGCTGTCACATCTCCACATCTGCTCCATTTTACAAAATCGAACATACACGGAAGAAGTGTCAACATATTTCTCATACCAAACTGAAATGATAATAGCAGCCAGAGAAAAGACATCAATTTACACAGTAGAGAATAGTTCACTGAAAGTATGGCAACATCCGTGTGTGATATAGTGTATGGTGAATATCGTCTGTTTCACACTGTACAGACAGATTCTACAGCAGTATACGCAACAGCCACAAGTCCGTGCAACACACTCACACTCTAGCCACAAATACAATATATGCATTTCCTGTTGCCCCACTAACCCTGACCTTGACCTTGACCCTAACCCAAATGTGGCCTTGACCCAAAACTCTTTTCTTATTTTTCTCGAGTCGCACCATAAGTATTAATACTATCCTGACATTGTCTGTATTTTATGAAAGAAGTGTAAATTTGTTCAATAGCTATAGATTAAAAAAAGTTAAAATTTAAAAAAACCAACCTGACCGACCACGCCTATATTTGGTCAGGGTGAAACAGGAAACACATATTTTATTTTTTTGGCCTTCCACACAAACAGGTTCAACACCTTCAACAGTTCATGGACAATGAGTTAGTGAACTTTATGAAAACCATAAGTTGTACCTGCTCAGGGGAGACAATCACTCATTAGACGATCAACGCGACAAGCTCATATTCATGTTGTTTTAGAATCTAAAGGGTTAAACCACATCCACCCGTGATTCACAACATAAGGTTCCTTCTCTCTTGACGATGTCCTGGTCACGGTGTCACATGACTTGAGTGTCCTGTCACATGATCCACACGCTGAGATCACCCGAAGTTCGACCAATCATGTTGTGACTTTGTTCCCGCATCGACGCAAACGCTATAAGTCGACCCACAATGGCCACATGACAACCACACAACCAATGATCATTCACTTAACATAATGCAAGGTCACATGACAATGCTGCCAGCCAATGAGAGATCACAACACTTCACTATACGGACGTTTCAGAGTTTAACCGCAGCACAAATTTGTTATTTTTGGGGTCGATGACCTCTTCAGTGAGACTGAAATGTGGGATCTTACGGATCGAACACAACAACGAAACATCCCCGCTCCGCAGCTGAAACAACGACCCGTGTTCCACCTCCCTTGTGACCAGCTGATCACACACTAGCACCCAGCGTTCCGTGGATTTGTACGATTTTTCGTTCATGATGACGACCCCCTGTGTGAGGTATCTCTCGATGAATGACCGAGGGCTCATGTCGTGGGCGATGCAGGTGGCAAGATGGTTGAGCACCGACTCCATGGTGTAGCGCGGCTGCTGACGGGTCACCCGCAAGAACTTCTGCAGCGCCCGCGCCATGGAGGGGAAGACGGCCTGGGCGGCCTCCTGCGGGTCCATGGGGATGGCAGGACCTGTGGCAGAAAGGAGTTAAATAACATGTTAGCTTAATTGTGATTGTTGTTTGCGGGAATCACGCACGCACCAATACGGTGTTAGCATTGGGCGTCTCAACGTGTGTGATTCCCGTGCAACCTTTCGAGTTGAGTTGATTGGTTCAACTGTGTCATATGGCCCGGTGACGCAGGGGTAGCATTATGCAGAATGCTCGATCCACCTGTGACGAACAGGTCTGGTTGTTGATGAAATAAAGTGATAGCTAAATAGACAGATTTTTTATTCATGCACCGATTGGCTTTAAATGTAACATCCAGTTATGTATGACTGTTTAATACTCTCATACCAACTTTGACATGACGAATGGTAAGCAACATGATCAAGATACCAAACAAATTTCATATTATGTCCTGTTATTATTCTAAAACTATTATTTGAAATTATTTATTGGTACAAAAATACCAAAACAATTAATCCACATTCGTTGACGATTTGTTTCTGCCATTGTGGGGACCATCTTTCGATTCAGATTCTTTTTTTTTTACGTCATATTTGACCCTTTTCACGGCAGGAAAATGCAAATTTCTGCACATCAAGTGATTTTCTGCAAGACCAGTACATTTCTGCATCAAGAGGACAAATCTGAACATTATCATTCATGGAATACTTTTCAGAATTCTCCTCTTGAGGCAACAATGTCCCATCAATGCATTTCAAAGGGAGATAATTGTCTGTTTTCACACAGGGAGGTAGTATTTCACTCCAGGATTAGGTTATCTCATGGCCAATGCCATACTCCGGAGCACTAAGACAGTAATGCTCTCACTCCCTGCTGCGTGCTACATGGAAACTTAAACTGCTCGACTCATCCATCAAAGTGTCACAACCAACCAGACCCTCAGGAATGTCTCCCCCCTTATCTCCATGTAAACATAAATGCAGTCAAGATGACAGAACAGCTCTGACATCTTGGCCACATCAAATTCATAATCTGCTTTTGAACTTAAATCAGTGGTTATTCCTTCGTTTGTGACACCTGTCATTCACAGAGACACATCCACTGACACAAACCGACAGATCTGTCACACGTCCACTGACACGACCGACAGATCTGTCACACGTCCACTGACACGACTGACAGATCTGCCACAAGAAGATCTACTGTGCCATTAGTCTTCCCTTACTCCTGCCATGTGACGTGCCCCGTCACGCAAGTGCTCTACTCGCAATAGTTGGACCCAACGCCAGAGCAAACAGTCTTTACAGAACAATTTCATTGATGTAGTCATGGATAAAAGCAAATGAGAAGAGAATGAACAGACTTACAGGAGTGAGTGAGTGAGTATGGTTTTACGCCGCTTTTAGCAATATTCCAGCAATATCACGGCGGGGGACACCAGAAATGGGCTTTACACATTGTACCCATGTCGGGAATCGAACCCGGGTCTTTGGCGTGACGAGCGAACGCTTTAACCACTAGGCTACCCGACCGCCCCACGACTTACTGGAACACCAGATACAAATATTTCATTGTCATATTGATAGAGGGTTTTCACTTTCAACAGTATTTCAGTGTGTCACCTACAAGTGAGAAAAAAATCCACAAGCACATGGTATGGTGCACACAACCCAAGGTGTTTAGGTGAAATAGGTTTGAATGTTGTACTCAAGATTATTTCACTTTAATTGCGACGTTCATTCACAATAGATCCTGGCACAGCTAGGGGGCACAACTCTGATAGGCAAGTTGCAGCAACCTAAACCACATATTAACACAAATACAAACATCATTCAGAGGTGTATTAAAACTGAATAAGTGTCAGCCTTGAAATTTATGATCAATGAAATTTTGTAACCTTTCCTCTATTTTCTATGTGTATCTACCGACCTTGTTCGTCCTGCATCCTCTTGATGTGTGTGAACGCCTCCTCTGCTGCAACCAGCAGCCTCGCTCGACGTTTCCGCACCCTCCTCTCGTACTCCTGTTCCTCGTAGAACCGATCGTTATGACTAGCATCCCTCCGGCGAGCCGCGGCTGCAAACACAGCCCGTGATCGGCCCTGTTGATTGGCCTGATTAGCGCCTCCGTCCACATCGTACACTTTGAACCCTGTAAGCTTGGCCGGGCGGCGGGTGGCGTTCTCCAAATACGGATTGTACGACTGGAAATCCTTCAAATACTGCTCCAGCACCCAGACAGCTGCCCTCTGAATGCTCAACACGCCCATCGTGTACGAGTGACTCTCCCCGTCCGGCGACCGCGTCACGTTGATGACGTACTGCGGCTGAATCTGCCTCACCTCCAACAAGATGATGGCGAGATAGTGAATGAAAAGTAGTCCGTCGACTAGCGACACCGAGAACTGCACTATAGAGTGGTACTTATGCTCCCGCTCCTTGAATATACGAACACCGTAGAACAGCCAGAACGCGAATGTCAACACAAACACAAGGAAAAGCACCACGGCTCTGAAAATAAAAACTCTCGGCATCGTGGCTTTAGGTTGACGGAAAAACAGTGCAAATGTTCCTACGAATAATATGATGAGTTTAAACGCAAAACTGATGAGAAGGCCCTCGCACTCTGGTTTACACTTCATATCGTCGGGATCTGAAGCTGCTACAAGGGTGCCGTCAGGTTGCACATTCCAGTCTACGATTCCCAGTTTGGGTAGAACCACCATCGCGATTGGCGAAATGAAGCCAAATATACTGAGCACAGCTGCTAACGCCGATCCTACATATCGCGTACAGTCAAACCCAACATTGTCCTCGAATTCTTTCGAAAATTTATGCATGTCCTCCATAGAGAATCCGGTCTCACTTGTGTTGCCGGTAATGGCGGTGGTGTTGTCGCCCCAGTTGTCATCCTGAGGAATTACTTGGACTTCTATGCGTTCCTCCTCATGGCAGTCGTCCGACATGTGACCCGGGGTCTTGATGGTGACCGAGCGGTCGTCGCGTTCTCCTCGGTCGCGGCTCCGACCTCTGTGACTGGATGGTCGCCCGCTCTGCTGGCGGTGACGGTGGTGGTGGCTGCCATGGCTACGATGGGACCGCTCAGATCGGTCACTACGACCAGACCGTACTGACTCTGCTCCGTCCATCTTAGATACCGCTTACTTGACAACTGCTAATAGGGTGACTGAAAATAAAATAGGAAAATTAGCATAAATAAGATTGTACAAGTCCACAGGTATTATAATGGGAATAAATGGCAACAAAAACTGAGTAACACACTGACAGAGATAAACATACAAATATTTAGTGAGTGAGAGTGAGTGAGTTGGGTTTAACGCTGCTTTTAAGAGTATTACAGTTATATCACGGTGTGTGGGAGGAAAGCCCGAAGTGATGCAGGTCTCACTTCCACTGAAACCCACAAGCACGGGTATGGTGCTGACAAACCTAGAAACTTAATCGGGGCGAACCGGGATTCGAACCCACAATCATAGGTTTCTGGCATGCCCAAGAGACGCAACTCTGCACCTGCAAATCATGGCGCCTTAGACAACTGGGCCACCCGTGCCCCCTAGCGATGGTCAGAACCACAGGCAGAATTATGTTTTGAATAGAACAATTGGTTTGTCTACAAATATGAAGACAATATTGAAATATCTGTATGCAATCAAATTCTGAAACACAAAACGCATGAGGCTCACTTTATCATTGGAGTGCTTATATCAGGGGTGGACCTTGTTTTTCTAAGCTCCCTTTCTGTCAAGAATTGATTTGGAAGATAAAAATACCATTTTCTAAAAGGCTCCTTTTGTCATCACTATTTGTAGGCTTTGGAGTTAATTTCTGTCAAGCATTCACATAAACACTGAAACATATTAACATAACTTCTAGGGTTCAAAGACCTCTGGAGATCGACCGTGTGAACATTGACAATTACCTGTATATATGATCAAATTGACAACACAATATACAATGTGGCTCCTGGGTGCGGCCATATTAACTCTTGTGTATACCGTCCAAAGCTGAGCCCAAAATAGGTCTGTTCATTAGCTGCCACAAAGCAAACGAGAAACCGTTTGATTCTCTCCAACTTAATGGCTTTACAAGTCAGGCACTGAGGGCAGTCTGTCAGAGTTGTTTCCCCTTCATTAACTCTCATGGCTGGGAGGGCCGAAGTCACGGTATTAAACATTACATAGTATATGGTGTCAGCGTGGGGGTCTTGCCACATGCGTTGCCATTTCCCCCTGAACAAATCTATTTGATCAGTGAGTGAGTGAGTGAGTGAGTGAGTGAGTGAGTGAGTGAGGTATTACACCGCTCTCAGCATCAGGGGAGGGTCACAGACTCAAGAGAGACACATATTTGGAGGGGGTCATTCGAAAATTAACATAAAATACAGGGCTAGATTTAACCCTACAAAACATGCACCAGTGCAACCTACAACCTAACCTATCAGTGAAAAGTACAGTCTAATATTTATGTCTACATGCACCAAGCATGACTAGCCCTTACTTTTCCCACACACCATCAATCTTTGAACACATTCAACACATCTCAGCTTGACGAGGCATACTACATCACTGATCCTTGTGTAGTGTAAATACTTGATGTCATCGAACTGTGGGTCATTCAAGATAATGTGTACATGTTCCTATTATGTTTTACAGCGATACGTCATTCATTTATGTAAAATCATTACACAGTCGTCAGAGATCTGAGATTATATTTATTTGACTTGTTTATGCATTGATCATGCTTATGTTCAGTCAGCGTTAGAAGTTGGCACTAGGTCTATAGTCCTTGCTAAACTGCCCAATGGTAAAGGTATCATAAGGACTAGTAGAAATTTGCCCTTTTTAAGGGTTTTGCTATATGTTATCATTATAAGGACTAGTGGACGAAAACTGTTAGTTTCTAACCCTGATTCAGGCTTTGAAACATTTATGGGACCTGATTTAACCTGCTTTGTCTGGTGCAACTAGGATTACATGTCGTATTTGTGCAAGTTAAATAAATTTCCTTAAATCAAGCCCTGATATTATGAAATATAAAGTGCTTTTTTTTTTTGTCGTTTCAGAAAGGGTCATGAAAACAAACGTCCATTGACATGGGGAGGGTCATCCAAAAATATGACAAGCATTAGCACATGATTAGGGGAGGGTCATTATTTGCATTAAAAAACTCTGACCCACCCCAACCCTGTAATAAATGACCGGCCCCTTACTGCTCCCATATGTACTATCAAAAGCTATTTGAAGTCCAACACCTCACAAGCACCTAACACAGTAGACCTACTGCATCGATGTACCGGGCTCACTGTCTCAGGGCGATCCCCTCTCACACCCAGCTCTGCTAATTAGATCTACCATCTGATGCTCCACAAAGCACCTTCCCATAATGCAATTTGTTGAAGGAAGACAGTTGTGATGTCACTATCAGAGAGGCCATCTTGCCTCGCAGGCAAAAACATTTAATTTGAGTCCTACCGTGAAGCAGATGGTGGTTAAATAGAAGAAATAAATAGATAGTGTAGAAGACTTGAACCCTAGCTAAGAGTGCTGCTTATAAACATCGACTTCACAAGCTGCTGGTAGCCATTTTGTTTCTGCCTCTCTGATGGATGGCTATTAAAGCATTAACTCTGTCCGAAGCTCTTTAGCGTAATCTGTTCTGTGCTAAATATATAAGCATCTGTAATGGATTCCTGAGCTGATTGCCTTCCCCTGTTGCCAACCTGGTGTGTCACATGATAGCTGGGTATACTTCCAGGAGAACACAGGGTCTATCACTTTAAACTCTGTTACATTCTATCAAGAAGTTTATTTTCGGTCCAGGATCATGTTAGCTCCATGTTGTTTGTTATAAGACATTTTGGGTTTTCTTAAATCATTTCAACTGACAGGAACTCTACTCATATTGACCTCCAGCTATTGCTGATGTCTGGAGATCAAAGGATTGAAACAGTAGCATGGCACAATCTGCCACAAGAAATCCGAGAAACAGAAAATCTGACAAACTTTAAAGACACTTCAAACCTGTCTCTTCAACAGATCCTTAGACTAGAATGAGCATGGTTATAGTGCATTTGAGCAGTTGTTAATTGGAAAATGTGCGATACAAATTCTTAATTTACCATATTCGCCCTAATAAGCGCCCAGAAATAGGGGGCTCTTATTAGAATAAAGTTTTGTTGAGAGAAAAAAAACAGAGTTGAAAGATCGTAAATTCCGTGGTTTATGCTGACAGCCTGAAATGATACAAGAGAAAAGTCTGTGCGTATTATACACGACAGATATATTTTTCCAGAATTTAATTGCCCATAATTAAGGGTGCATATAACACACGAGTGCGTATTATACACGAATAAATACGTCTTGTGTACATTAATCAATCGGAAGGGGTGCTAATTGGGATTGTTCACTAGCCATGCAAGATATTAGCAAATATCGCCGTGCGCTTATTACGTCGAATACGGTGATTTAATGATACAGCCATTTTAGCCATACCATCCACCCCAGGATGGGCAAGGTTTCATAATCTAGGACATCTCCTGATTCTCAGTTGTCCCAAAGATTCTCTACTGACAATGAAGATTGTCCTATTGGAAACTGAGTGACTGAGTGAGTGAGTATGGTTTTATGCCGCTTTTAGCAATATTCCAGCAAAATCACACCAGAAATGGGCTTCACACATTGTACCCATGTGGCTAATCGAACCTGGGTCTTCGGCGTGATGAGTGAACCCTTCAACCACAAGGCTACCCCCCTGCCCTATCGGAAACTGACATGTCACAGTTTTCCCCATGTCTCCGTCCCCATCACTGATAGACTTCTCGAGGAGGACCCTCTGGAACTGAACCGACATGTTCGGGACTGATGGCTTACACATCTGTTTGTTTTCTAGGACATGTTGTCCAAAATGTTTAAATTTCAAAAGGGATATGGAGCAATGTCAAAAGTTGATAAAAAAAAGTCATGAAAATGTCCAAAAGCCATTTGTCTCCAGCAATATCCCAGCACTGATTAACATGTGGACCTACAGTGTTTTATTTTTGGGACATACAGCATAAAGCATATAAAAAAACAAACAGACACAAACACAGACACTTCACAATATATGCAGGCAAACCATTGCAAACATCAAAGCCCAGTCCAGTCCAGAAATTTCTTCATACTCGGGGTAGTGTTATGAGCCTGGGAATAAATGTTATTCCACGAATGACTACTAAGGTGAGTAATTTGACTTCCAATGCTGTCTGTCACCTAAGTGAAACACTCCACACGTCCTGTCTCCCCAAATCACGTCACCTGCTTGATATTTTCTCACTTAAGTGTCTGCAAACATTCAAAATCTTTTTCAGGAGCGACTATTTAAAGTGAGCGAGTCTATAAGGATCGACTGTTTGTCGTCACTGTGACTTGGGCAGCGCAAAGTAAACCAGTTCCGGTCGGTCGCAAGTCGACTGTGTCATGTGATACTCTAAATTGTTTGTTGTATGACAATGAGACAGCGGTCTCCTTACACAGGCAAGTTCCAATTATACAGTCAATAGGTATAGGCGAGAGTACCATTGTGGGAGGGGAACTATCTCTCACTTCAGACAGCTGTTTTTCCCCGAACAAGGTTACGTGGTAATGTTACCTGTGCACAACAGTCAAACAAGACAGGGACAGCAATGATAGAACTTGTGAGAGGGCACATGCCCTTAAATATTACTCAGAAGGGACTGCGTGAGTGAATGTTGTTTTATGCAAACAGGGCACGATGATAACATCTAACGCAGCCTGACCATTAGACTAACATCTAGTCTCTGAAATTAACATATCGTACAAAAAAAACAGTTGTTCAGTTATCTTAATAAAAATATAATAAAAGGGTGCCCAGTTACTCTCTTCATTTCCTGATACTGCAGTAATCTAGATTTGCCAAACATTATAGACTTGCTTGGGCTGTATTTGATATATATTTGTATCACGGTCTGTAAGACAGACTACCTGACCACTCAAATAAGTCCAATCTCAGAAGAGATGGTGAGGTGAAATTGGGTTCAATGTTGCTTCAAGATTATTGCATCCAGACTAATGCCAATTTCAGTAGTGCTAGCGCATTGAGATACCAACCACAATTTAACATGGATACCCCACTGAGAACAGTCCTTGTTTTAGTCCTTAATGCCAACCC